TTGTCTAAAGTATACCCCAGGGCAGATCACCACATTTTGCTTCCGTCTCCCACAAGCCCCATTCTAGTCGGGCCTGCCAAGTCCTCTTGGTGGTCAGTAGAGATAGATCTCCGAGTACAAGTCATATTCCCAACTTGACTGTATGATAAGTGAAACCAGACCTGCTGTTTCCCCCCCTCCTCACGTACGACACCGCATGCAGTATCACAGCAGATGTATGGGCTGCTCGACGACGAAAATGACCTTCGCAAGGGCTTGGAATATCTGGTTGTTTCGTTTGAACAGATGGTGGCACCAAATTGGATTCATATCAGTCAAGCTTGCTACATTTCTTTGGAATAAATTTATCGACCAAAAACACAATTGGTATCAAAGTGTAGCCCGTCTATCCCAAAAGACCGTCCTAGACATCGCCCCAGAAGAATAAACAAATTGAAATGAAAAGCAAAGGAAACAAAAGATATCCGCTGGGAGAGCTCATCCAAAAAAGTAGAAAAAGTTGGGAAACTCTCCCTTCCTGAGAAATAAAGGAAAACTTAAAAGTAACAATAAACATGAAATATGTCGTTTCGCTTTCCCACCCAACCGAGGGTTTTCATCAGTCATAACTCGGAAAAAACCATAACCAAGATGATGAACAGGCATCACTCAGCTTCGATACGATTATTGTTGCTAGAAGAGAAGAATGGCGTTGGGGATCATGATGGCCATCAGCGGCCACCTATGTCGCTAGAATAGTTCAATTCTCCAAAGTTTTGGCCCATTCCTCCATCGCCATAACCCGTGCCGGGACCGCTGACGTATCCCCCATCCTCATTGTCATCGAAATCGCTGGCATCAAATGATGACCTGCCACTCAGGTCCTCATCCATTCCCCCCATTTCAGGCCCAGGCCAGCTGAGTCCAGCAAGAGCCGGGTACTGTGCCAACAGCGCGGCAGGGAGTGTAAGATTGCCACGAGCATCTATTGGGTAACCAGTATTCGGGTCCAGGCCCATTCCCTGCGAAGCCAGGTTGGCATTCTGTTGCATCTGCTGTTCCTGCCACTGGCGCTGGCGCTCCAGCATTTCCTCGTCCAAGAGGGGTTTGATGCAAATTCGGCCAGCTTCGGACCTAAAATGACGGCCGAGAGCGTCGGCACGGGCAAAGCGTCGACCACAGCCCCACTGCCCGCCTGCTTTAAGTTCGCCCTTGCAGACAAACTTCTTCTCTCCCGAGTGCAGGCTTTCATGACGTTTACGGTCATGCTGTCGAGCAAATGCTTTGCCACAAACAGTGCAGACAAACGGTCGCTCGTCTGTATGTGTTCGCAGGTGGGAACGCAAATTGTAGGCTCTGGTGAAACGCTTAGGGCACAATGTACACTGAAAGGTTGCAGGGTGCTTTTGGGCGCGCTTGGCTGAGCCGGTGTCCTGACTGCTCTGATAGTCGGGGTCGGCAAGACGAAGAGCGATGACGTTGTTGGGGACTGCCGAAGTAGACTGTCTACGTCTCGACGGTGAAGCTCCGGTTCTATCAAGCGGGGACAAGGATCGGGAGGCGTCGCCACGGTTGGCCAAATCCGAACCCAGAGAAGGCGATGGACTTTGTCCAAGATTGGGTCTTCCTAAATGGGATCCGGATGTGTTGTATGGATCTGTAACGGCGCGCTGACGATTTCTTTGGCGGCCTGTAAGGAGGGAGAAGTAACACAGTCAGTTCAACAAGCCCCGGCGCACTGGTTTGAGATTTAAAATAAAAGGACCGCTTACCTCGTTCTGGGGGGGTCAAAGAATCTTGATCAATTTGCTGCTTCGATGGGCCGTAGCCGCCCAGCTTAGAATTGTTTGGTGCAAAATCGATATTGATGGCCGGAGGCGCCATTTGGGACATATCCGATCCATTGTGCTGGAGAGTTGGGAAGGCTTCATTTGGAACTTGGACACTTGGGAAAGCCGAAGTATCCCCATATGCCATGTTGGGCGCAAGGCCGTAGGGAGACTGCTGCATGGTATCGGGCATCTGCTGAGGAGAAATACGAGGGCTCACCGCAGGGCTGTGGGACGGACTACGTCCTTGATGTCCTGGGCTGCCAATTGAGTGGTCTGAAAGACTGAAGTTTCCAATAGTCAGAACCTCTTGGTAGAGACTGGCATCTGAAGGGCGCTGTAGGGGGGAGTGCCCAATTGGATCTTGGTCGAAATTGTCGGAGCTCACTAGATTTGGCGAGGGTGACACTGAGGAGACATCCGAGTGGGCAGAGGGGCTGCGGCGATGGCCTTGGAATTGAGGCTGCGTCCAATCATCCAGCTGGCCGGGGAGTAATGCCGCTTCAGGACCAAGAGAAACATTGCGTGAATGATGTCCACCAGGTGGTGATGAGAAATGGTGTTGGTTGAACGAGGGCGAGTGCTGCGCTGAACCAGGCTGGTGAGAGTCGGGCTGTAACAAGTGGGGGGGAGTCGGCGAGTTGTGCTGTGATTGCGGGGATGCCATATTATTCATATCGTTGGGACCGAGCGCGGATGTCTCGAAGAGAGGTTGATTATAATGATCACCCGAGCTACTGGCGGGGGGGAAGAGCGAGAAGTCGTCGTTGAGATTAGGCGAGAGGTAATCAGACTGCGACTGTGAGGTGAAGGACAACCCCGAGTTGGGCACAGAGGGGGGCATCTGCTGATTATAGGTCGCGCTCGGGTCAAAGAGAGCTGTGTCAGTCAGACTCTGTTGTGCAAACGCGGTCTGCTGTTGTTGCTGCTGCTGTGGGCTGAGGAAACTGCCGGCGGGGTTGGTGTTATTATGGTGGTTCGTGCTGAAGGCATTAAGGTTGGTGGACTGCTCCAGGGTGAGGCCGAGTCCAGACGATGAGTCGTTGGTGGGCTGCGGGTATGAACCCGGGGGCGGGGATATTTGAGGATGATGGTGACCGGCCGAAGGCGACCGGTCGCGTTGGATTTGCTGGTCCATTGGAGCAGTTGTCTCCAACTCAAGTGACGGACACGGCACAAGTGGAGAGTGAGGCAGAATTGCAAGTCAGCCTTCCAACACCTGTGGCGATGCCAGCGCAAGGAGGGGCTGTGCTCCCGGGCGACGAGCGAAACAGAAGACGGCAAATCCGATACGGCTGCGCGGTTGACGTAAATGTCGTGGACGGGACGCGCAATGGAGGAGGGACTGTTTATGTACGGCTGATGCAGGCAGAGGACGGATGGAGGTTGGGCCAGCTCGTCTGACGGGTGGTGAATGCTACTGGTGTCGGCTTGTGGGGAGAAGGTACAGGTAAATGAAATTACCTTTGGGGAAGATGGACTCAAACTCAAGAGGGGTTGGAAGGCGCTTTGGGCCTTGTGGCTACCCAGGCCGGGACGGTCTCACCTGGTCCCCATACAAGCCCTTAGCAGGAGTGTACCCGGTGGATCAGGCAAGACGGTAGGGCGGTCAGGTACCACTCACAACCCGGCACGTACTGGGACTCGCAAGGCCAGCCAGGGTTGCCATCTGGCAGGTACCGAGCCAATGCGGCGTTTCATGGGCGTCCAAGTGCCTGCAGTGGGCAAGTTAGTGAGGCTGTGCAGGCGACCGATTACGCGCCCAGGCCAGCCAGCTGTGCATTCCACGGGAGTGATTGCCTGGGCGCGGCAGGCATGACGACGACGACCCGATGACGAGGGAGACAATCCACGCTTCGAGGCACTGGTCTCCTGTCGTGGCGCCCTCGCCATTGGCGTGAGTGAGAGAGCCGAGCGGTTTGGTTTTATTAATAGCAACGTGAAGGACTTTTCTCGTCGCTCACATGCAGACGACTGGGTCAGCGAGAAACAAGCTCTTACCCGCCTGGCGCAGCTACCTGTACCTTGTTTCCAGTGGGCTTAACAGCATGCGACTATCATTTCCAGAAAACCAAAGTGCACATCCCGTCACGCTTACCGCCCAGCCATTGCTTCGTTGGATAGGGCGAACGAGCCACACATGTCGTCTTCTGAACGCGACGACTTTCAACTTTCGCTGCCCTGAGCTGAGCGAGTCCTGTTGACGTGCGGCCTCCCGTACATAGCAACAACACCCCTGTCCGCCTGTTCCAGTGTGATAGTGCACATTGTCGTCCTAGCACGTATCATCGTCTCAACGGTGCCTGGGCTTGCATGAAGAACAGCCCGGCTGCACGCCCATCTTTTCACATCCCCCATCCTTATTCATGAAGCCCGTCACAACATGAGACGAGCGACGTGGCACAGACACCAGTGGCTTCATTGCTCCAATCCACGACCACCCCGACGACAACAAGACAGAGACAGCTCCAGGACCTTGGCACTGAAGTATCCATGTGTAACCAGGCCTTGCTTCATATCCCAGGTGCCAAGCCCAGCCTAGGGAGCGGGCAGGCGTGCCGACAATACAATTTTGCTGACATGTCTTACACAGCCACAAGTTCATGAGCGGCCTCGGACCTACCCAAAGTGTGCCACAGAATTTGGGGTCCAAAAACCCTGGCCCGAGGTCGTTTTTACTGCTTACTCTCGATCCGACGCCTCTAGTCTTCCCGCTTTCCTTCCAATAGACTGGGTTGTTCCACAGCGCGCGCGGCCAAGTTGCATTGTGTAGCTACCTATCTCGGTCTGGATGGGCGCAACTCCACTGTCCCAAAAATACACTGCGTGACATTCACTCACTTTATGCGGCCTCTGTCAGAAGTGATTGGTGTTTACCTGATAATCTCTTTTTAGATTCAGGTCAGACATGGGCACATGATATGCTAGAAAGCCGCAAGGCAGACTGCGTACAAGCAGGGGCAGAAAATGAGAAGGTGTATTATGATTCTATCATGAGCCGAGAGTTCCTTGGACGTCCGTTTCGTCGTCTTGCATATCCTCAAACGCCTAGCGCCCTGATGTCTAATCTAACAATTCAATAATGACGACATCGTCTAATTTTGTGTATGTTCATACAGAGATGCTTTATCGAAGCATGAGAAGCAAAGGGAAAGAGTCCAGATAAAGGATCATGTTGAGCAGAGGCGAACTTCAGATCACCTCTGCACGCTCGTAGCCAGCAGGCTTAAGCGCCGGCTTGGGAACCTCACGGTCCTTGAAGGTGCTGACAAATGGATTCGGGTCTTCTTGCTGGTTGAGATTGCTGAGTGTGTGGTTGACGCCTCGGTGGCCAGCCTCATCGGCACGAATGTAGAGGATGAGGTCCTTCATCGTTCTGCTGCCCTCGGGCATGTTCCAATACTGGATGACTGGTCAGTGGGTTCGCATCTTGGGGGGGAGGCTCTTGACTAACCTGAATGGCAAGCTCAGGAATCTTAAAGTTGGGGTCGGACCATCGGGTGAGGAGACCCTGTTCGATTTCGTAAATTGATCGCGTGTAAGTGTGGACTGCTTCTTCTTCGAGATATCCCACAAAGCGGTGGACAATTTTTGGCGAGATGAGGTACGAGATAAACATCGCGTTAAAGAACACGCCTTGAGCTCCGATGAGCATCAGCTTCATAAACCATCCGGGCTCGCACATCTTCATGAACGTCAACAGATGCATTCTCTCGTTGTAACTCTCTTCCAGGAGTGTCTCGATCCATCCATTGTCTCGTTTCATTCGGCGTAGGCTGCCCAGATGGCGGAGCATGCCAGCAACCATGCCCGGCACACCAGCAATGCTCTCAAGGAACACGAACCGAATCAGCTAGCGACTAGTTAGCCTTGTCCTACTCTTAAATCCGTATAAATATATTCATGGGTGGAAAATGACAAGAATTGACTAACCCATTGTGCTTCTGTAAGTGGCTTCTCGGCCACAACAGCTGTAGTCGGTTTGCTCTTATCGCTGTGCTGCTCCCGTTCCATACCTGTTGCTTTATCCATACAGTACCTCGCAATTCGGACAATCTTCCAGGCGACCCAGTCCCCAACAGTTCGAGGCGGTCGGTGATCAGGGACTACGGCCAACATCTCCTCGGCCGTATACCCATGATGAGGCCATGCTGCCGGCGTAGTTTTGATATGAGGCGTGTCTTTGGCAGGGAAAAAGTCTCGCAATTGATGAGCAGGTGTCGTTGAGAAGAAACGAGGTGCTGGGTGGTGTAGAGCAGCGCCGCAAATAGGTACTTTAAGGGAGAGACGGCTGTGCACACAGGGTCGAGCTTGGCGTAGTACACCGGCAGCGGCGATTCGGATCGCCTGACTTGAAGCCGGGACTGAAGTGTGGATGGGAGTTGAGATCATGAGCGGCAGAGGGTATAGATTTGTTTGATGGGTTATCTGAGAAAAGCTCAGTTCAGTTGTGTTGGCTTAGGTGAGTAGAAACCTGAGGTTCATGAGATACTTATTGCCCGAGGATGCAGGCAGCGTATTCCTCGTTTTATAGAAATCTATTATTACTGAACATTCCGCTCATCCCCCCTACCTAATTCAAGCCATGATGTAAGTTTGATGACAGCCACAAACGGCCGAGAGCGAAGGCCGAACGGTACACGAACAAACAATGAGGCTCGTGGGAACTCCTGGCAGGCTGACTACTTACACGAAAATGGATCGGAGGCAAAGATGAATTTCCTCTAGCACATGCTCTCAAAAACACTAAAATTACTAACGACACTCAAATTAGAGCAAACCAGCTCATCGGGTTCTGTCGGAGCCTTTGTGAGTCAGATACCTGTCAGTGTCTATCTAGGTTAGGTGGGTCAGGTGCGATCCCAGCTTATGTTGACATCGAGTAGGCTATTTGGCCATTTGAAGTTAGTGATGACATCGTCAGAACGATCTCGATACCCGCTGGCCTTGTAAGAGGGAAAATCAGAAGAAGCTGAATCTGTATGAAGTGTATCTGATACGAATCGCCACAAAGCTGGAAGACAGTTGACTGATTACCAACAATACATGTCTCTAAATGTTTGGTATATGACAATAATCATGAAAATATTATTATTCATAATATCGATAATATATTTATAACAATTTAGCATTATCGGTTGGGTAGTGCACCTGCATCTTCACTATCCCTTAAAGAAATGCCCGCCATAGCATTAGATGCATTAGTGGATATACTGATGTGGCTGCATAATCACGATGCCAACTTACTCTATGATTTACCAATGCAAAAACGACTGCAGCTGTCTACTAACCAACCCATCCGAGCAGGTTCCGACTCGCGCTGATAACAGGTTTTTTTTTGCGGCGGCTTGCGGCGGCTGGGCCGCCCGCATATGCCATGTGACAAAAAATTTTAGAGGCAGACAGAATACAGACTAGGTAGGCATCGTTCTCCCCACCAACCCGGGAGAAAGAGGAAGCAGACCAAAGCATTGACTTGGTGGAGGGCCGTTAAATCATTTCCATTGAACATATGCATGGCAGGAAATAGCCAATAAATCCAATACATGCGTGGTTGAAGGCGACGGAGCTTGGCCATGCCAACACATTCTCACATCCAAGGCTGTACTTTACTGCACGGTCCCTGTCAAAGTCCCACTGGGGATTTCCAGTTTCAGACCAGCCTGGGCATCAGTGACGCAACCACTGGAATTAATTAAGAAGTGCCAGGCCCATAGCGGGATTCGCCTGGCGCCTGAGCCTTGACCCCTCCATCCCGCGTGTCCCTCCCCCTCCATCATTCCCACTCCCGTCCCCCCTTCAAGCGAGATATTCTGCCCTTATCCCACAGAATTTTAGCCTCCCCGATAATAAAAAAAAGACGCGGTTTGAAGTTCCCCCTTCAACTCCTCCAACCACACTCCCACCAACCCAGCTCGAACGCCAGCTGCTTCTTCCTATCCCCCCATTCTACGCGATAAGAACCCATTTCGTCGACTCGACACCATGCCTTCAAAAGAGTGGGGTAAGTGCATCTGTCTCCCTGATACATCACTTCACGAATCCTGCCCGAGCCGGAATATCAGGCCTCTTCTCATACCAAATGTGCCAAACATACTCGAGGCGTCGCTAACTGAGAGATATTCACAGACGAAGAGGATAGCGGTTCCAGCGCCCCCTCATCTCCCAAGGTTTCTGCCGCTGCCGCTGCCGCCCGCCGCAAGTTCGACGACGAAGAGGATGACAGCGATGTGAGATTCCCCGACCTTGACAGAAATCCATCTCCAGCTTATGCTTTCTGGAACTGCCGAAACTAACAACCCCTCCCGATCCCCAGGTGCTCGATTCTTGGGATGCCGCAGAGGACTCCGAAGTAGAGCGAGAGAAGGAGCGCAAGGCCAAGGAGGCCAAGGAGAAGGCTGCTGCCGAAGCTGCTGCCAGTAAGAAGTCTAAGGCCCAGCGCATCAAGGAGCACCAGGATGCCCGCGCCAAGGCTCTCGCCGAAGATTCCGACGAGGAAGAGGAGGAAACTGAGGCCGAGCGCCGCGAGCGTCTTCGCCGCACCGAGAAGGAGGCAGACATGAAGCACGCCGAAGCCCTGCTCGGTGCTGGGGACGACTTTGGAGACATTGGCGTGAGCAGCTCTCGCAAGGGCCAGACCGTTGGAACTGCCGTCGCTATCAGCAACGACGACCCCAGCAAGACTGTCAACATTGCCAACCTTCCCCTCTTCAACCCCACCACCAAGGCCCAGTTTGAGAATCTCCGCACGACCCTGGTGCCTATCCTCGCCGCCAACGGCAAGAAGGCACACTACTCCCTCTTCCTGCAGGAGTTTGCCAAGCAGCTTGCTGCTGAGCTCCCCAGCGACCAGATCAAGATTGTTGCCAGCAAGCTCACGGCCCTGAGCAGTGAGAAGATGAAGGCCGAGAAGGCCGCCCAAAAGGGTGGCAAGAAGACCAAGGCCGCCAAGACTAAGACATCACTGGTCGCCAGTCGTGCTAATACCACTGACACTAACGCCTATGATAACGATGATTTCGGAGAGTATGTGGCACCTACCGATCCTATATCCCCAACGTTTGACTAACTTCCCGCAGTGATGATTTTATGTGAAAGTAGCAAAACAGGTTTTGGCACAGCCGCCGTATGACTATGCTACTATCATTCTGCCTATGCGACACGCCCAGGGCGCATTTACATCCATCGTGAGAAGATGTCGGCAAGCTCTTTTCCGCGCCCTGTCAACTACTCAGGGAGCTCGCAATCCAACCTCGGACTCAAGCCGCGAGCTCTTTGATTGCGCGGGATTATCATGCCCCTCGCCATGGGGACACTGGTTCATATTCCTTGGAGAATGGCGTGGTCAAAGTCGTGAAGCAGGGGTAATGGCGAACGACGGTGCCATATATAGGTCAACTGGCGATGCCGAAATAAGTACACGCTCCGGCGTCGAATTGTGCGCCTGGTACCGGTTACGGTGGTTATATAGGCTGGGTCTCGGTTTGGGAGCAAGGGACGGATAGTACGGCGCTCGGGAACACTGATGATTCATATTCTGGCAGAAGATGTAGTAGTAGTCAACAGGTTATTACATTACTGTCAAATGACTTGACGTCTGATACGGTGCGTCTCTATTGCCACTCGCCATGTGAAGGTTGCATACGGGGAAGTAGTCATGAGCTTCTCCTCTTCAGCATGCGGAAGCTAGGGTATCATTTCATTTCCCTTGTTAACATTTGTCGCGTCGCTAAGTCCCCCTTTCTAAAACGCCGTGAAAAGCAAACCGAAAAGAAGCCAGCTCCCCCCCAAAGTAAAAAGACGTACCCCAGTGCTATAAACAAAGCATGATACAACGGGGTGCAAATTTTGACAAAGGTTTTTCTCGTTAACGTAAACATAACGCCAGATGTGTAATAAGCGATGAGTGGGATAATGGGCTATTTCTCTCTTCGTGCTCCGTACTGGATTCCTTTTCTCACACCACATTTCCAGCCATGCCCATGAAGAGAGCGTGGATCGCGAGGGAGAGGGTCCAGAAACCAACTTTTTTGAACCGTCGTACGCGGCTCTGCTGGTTTTCAATATCCTTTGCGAAGGCTTCGTATGTCTCAGCGGACATGTCGTTTTGAAGGCCGCAGTCGTATGCTGACCAGCTGCCTTCGAAATCGGTAGCACGTTTAACTATGCGACAGGTGATGGGGATGTAGGTTTTCTTGGCATTGATATAGGCCACGATGGGTCGGACGAGTGCTTGGTTTACGTAGGTGAGATGGTTGGTAAACAGAGGCACGGAGGCTTTGACGTCGTTGAGATTGATTCGCAGATCCATCAACAAATATCGACGGTCATCTTCTAACTTGGGCGATTCTTGGGGGGTTTCGGTGGCTGGGGCAGCCTCAAAAGCCTCTGAAAGATGTCCCGATCTAAGGAGATCAGTGTCAGTGTCGTCATTGTTGCGTATGAAACGATGACGGTTCGAAATGACAATCTCTTCCAGCTGGTCATAAAAGTCGGACATGACCTTGGTGATACCTTGGTCAGTATCGGCTGGGAAAGCAATGTCGGCGATGATGTCCACGTTGCCTTCATAGATCCAGCCAAATGTACCCTCGACACCACGGTTCAGGTGGTCGATTTTTAGGGCATCGATGCGTAGTCGGCTGAACTTCTTCCACGCATTCGCCTCACCGAAGCCCCACGATGACTGGTGGTCTCGGTTTGAGACAACACCAGGCACTTGCTTTGGATGGATCGTGAAGAGAGAACCATCGTAAGAACCGGACATGTGGTTTGCTGAGAGGAAATCGTAGAACAACCACTGTTTCCGGAGCTGAGGCAGCTCACACGAGTAGATACTCACAGTGAAGGGTCGGAAACCGCCAGGGTGGTGGACCGTCAATAATAGATCCTCCATTTTAAAGGTTTCGATCTCAAAGTCACCAGGCTGGTGCTCGTGTCGATATGACAAGGGGTCGATCTGCTCAACTGGCCAGGTCACCGACGTGCGGTCAATGACACCTCTCACACCCTTAACTTCAACGTCCTTGAGAAGCCCTCGTCCATTCCACCAGTTCAGAAACGACAGCGTCACATTCACAGTAGCGATTGTCACATCAAACTGCGTGTAGTTGCCATCGTCCTGCTCAACATTGACATTATCATGTTGTGCTTGGCGGTCGGCGGCGGCTACGGCGGCTGCATCACTGGATCCTTTGCTCACTGAAGAGGTGATTTGACCAGGGCGACGGGAGACAAACACGTTGCGAAAAGAAATCACGCCCCCCTTCCACTTGGGGACGATCGCAGACTCGAATATCACAGTAATCCCAGCAGACTTGGTGAGATAGTCTCCCACTTTCTTGGCCAAGGTTTCTACGGTGGTAATTAGTAACGGATGATTCCAGTGGGTGGAGGCTGATAGGCGCTTACCTTGCGCAAACACAGTATTGATAGACAAAATAATAATCGAAAAAAAGGTCGTCGTTCCGAGCAGAATCCAGACAATATGGCCCAACATAACCCAGGAGACGAATGCTCCCCATTCGTCAATGTTCCAGGGGCGCATAGATCGAATTGACATCCACTTTAGTCGAACCTTCATTCTCTGGCGAAAGTTTGTTGCTGCTGCAAGCAGCTCCTCCTTGGTGGGCCGATGCGGCATCCGAGGAAGATGGAGATATTTGGACACTGAGGATGCCAATGACTCGGCGTCAGGCTGGGAACCGTCGGTTGCTGGTTGATGTGTGGTTCCCGTGTCTTTGGCACCCGCGGCCTGCTCGGGTTTTCGTCCTCCATTCTCTTGAGCCTTGGCATTTGCCGAGCTCTCGCCTGCAGTCTTGCGCACAGAACTTGGCCCTTTGGAATGGTCGCTGAGTAGTCTGATATGGCGGGACAGTGATGGCCTGCTCTGGAAGATTGAGGCCGCATGGGAGACATGGTAGCGCTGAACGGGCGGAGGGGTTCGGAGATTATTGCGTAGGGTCGAGAAGTCGCAGGCAGACTTTATTCGAGGAGACTGCTGAAAATGCCCAAGGTGTATAACACGGCTGGGCAGAATGCTTGAGGCAGGCCTAGCAACCTGTCGACGGCTTGCTAATGACATTGATCCAAGTAAAGTGGCTGTTGGAACGAGGGCCTGGCTTGGCCTCGGTAAGAGGTGCCCAAGAAGCCATGATGGGTGACCTTTAGGCATTTTTCCAACTCATGGCGTCCAGCGTCTCATTGATGAGGCACCGATAAGAAGAGCAGTGGTGGGCCTCTGGGGTCGAAGTCGGGCTGATGCAGAGATCGATCACTTCGACACCTGATTTTAGAAGGGACCTAGCAAGCTCTAATACACTTCACTCGACAGAATTAATGGGCTTCCATGACGCGCCCACCCTAGCACACCGAGCGCCACGAGCCAATCGATAAGCCTCGATAGCCCACCACAAATTTTCCTCGAATCCAGGTTGGTGGGCATCGATAAGGCATTCGCCAACTTTTTTATCCCACCACGAATACGATGCAGGAATAAACTCGCCATTCCGACAGGCCTATTTCTTCTGATCTTTAGTTTTACAAAAGTGAATATTTCTTCATATTTATAAAATATTTTGTCCTCGCAAAGTGCCATCATGTCTGCGCCGACCGCATTAAAGAGGGCAGAGGACACCCCGCCTTCAAGCCATTTCGAGACCGACATGGTGCAAGGTAAAGAGCCATCGCAGGCCGTATTATTTAGTTCTATTCGCTAATTGTGGCGGGAGCTACAGATATCGAGATTCCCGATGGCGACGAAGAATTTGTTTTAGATACCGCAGAGTCTCTACCAGTAGATGCGGACACTGTGCTCGCTCCGGTGACTGTCGAGTCTATGGCGATCGACGAGGAAGGACGGCCACGATTTGCGCCATCGCGAGACATTGTGAGGGTACCAGGGCTCTTGACTCCCATGGGTTGTGCTAACCGCATGAATTACAGGATCCCGTCACTCGTGTCGAAACTCGAAAAATCCCCGTCCCGCCTCACAGAATGACGCCTCTGAAACAGTCATGGAATTCCATCTACCCACCCCTTGTAGAACACCTCAAGCTACAATGCCGCATGAACATCAAGCGCAAGACAGTGGAGCTGCGAACATCCAAGCATACGGTTGAGTCGGGCGCACTCCAGAAGGGTGAAGATTTCGTAAAAGCATTTACGCTTGGCTTCGACGTTGACGACGCCGTGGCGCTCCTTCGCCTGGATGACCTTTACATTGAGACGTTTGAGATCAAGGATGTCAGGACTATGCATGGAGACAGCCAGGCCCGTGCTATTGGCAGAATTGCCGGCAAGGACGGAAAGACCAAGTTTGCCATCGAGAACGCAAGCCGGACGAGAATCGTGCTGGCCGACTCGAAAATTCACATTCTGGGCGGGTTCAAAAATATACACATTGCAAGGGAGTCGATTGTCAGTCTGATCCTGGGTAAGCCTCCCGGGAAGGTTTACGGCAACCTGCGGACGGTTGCGGCGAGGATGAAGGAGCGGTTTTAGGTTATGATATGGATGAAATCATTGGCTAGGCGTTTGGTGGGCAAATCTGGTGCTGCTACCCTACATGAGGTTTTTGTTATTGCTTAGGCTTAGGTATTTCCATAGCGGTTGCTCAAAAATGGAACCATTTTTCTATTCGCATTGACGAAGCGATGAGTCGAGCAAACGATATCTGTAATTGACGGGGGGGTGGCTCAGGGGATATTTTCGGCGGTGTGCCCATTTTCCCCGTCATGGTGGTGTGTCAGTCGACTTATCGACCTATGGGAGATGAGGTTTTGCACCATCGCGGCCATGGCGCCGAACACTGAGGACGCCAGTAAGGGTTGGCAATCCTGCTACTGTCTCTGACCAGCCCTTTACACATTATAATGAGGCTACAAAATACGTAAGCTTAGATTGGCGTGTCAAGACTGTTAGTCACCCCTCCATACCTCGTGCGGCAACGGAGGAAGACTATTAGGAGCGGGATTTTGTTGGTGCCAATGTTTTTTTATCTCATCAAATTTCGCCGATGAGGAGAGGGCATTCGTTGCTAGGCAGGCCGGTACCTCTGCGTTACTCCATGTACCCGGCAGGTAGCTTGGCCTAGCAGAAACAGAGTTCCCGGGTGCATTCTGCAGAGGACGCAAAGAGGCGGTAGGTAGCAAGATACAGCTGTTCTGCATGTCTCGAGACACAAACGCCAAGTAGCCCAGTAAGACAGCATGTAAGTCGTATTCAGCATTGGTACTCGCAGGGACAGGCTCCTCACATGCCCGCCGCGGTGGTTGTTGTTGGCTGGCCACCTGCGGCGACCTACCACACCACCCCTCAGGCGCAGGCGGCCCCTCCCACTCACCTCGCCTCACGCATCCGCGCTGGCTGATAGAGGGACTGACCCCACCTCCCCCTTCGATCCCACCTGTTCCAGCAAGAGCTTAGCATTGCATCACAATAAATACTGCCCGTGTGCTCCCCGAGACCAACTTTGATTCTTCCAAGTTCTCCTCCAGTCCACACACCTGGCCTACACACTCCGTCAGATCCCCTAGGTAAGCATCGTGGCTCTCTTTTCTTGCGTGTTCCTGTTCTGTCCCTTGGATCTTGGATCAAGCCGTCTTACACGCGATCCTTTGCCTTCCATTGCATCCCCCTCCAAAGCCTAATTACCCCACCATGGTAGCTCCCAGCATGCTCCAGCTCAAAACAAAACAACGAGAGGGAGCTTTGCAAACGAGGCTTCAATCATCGCAAGAGGGAGTTCTCGGAATCTATCCGCCATCATAAATACATGTGTACATATGTACAACAGATTGGCTTTCCCAATTTCCCCTCCAATTCGAGCAATCTGCCCCTCCATCAAGCTACCCCTCAGCCCACCACTACTCTCCTGAAGTGCCACCAAAGTTTTCTCACCTAACACTCACTTTTAGAAAACCACCTCGCTTCTTCACGACACAACTGTCAAGATGGCAATTACCAAGGTTCACGCCCGTTCCGTCTACGACTCCCGTGGCAACCCCACAGTCGAGGTGGACATCGTTACCGAGACTGGCCTGCACCGCGCTATTGTCCCCTCTGGTGCTTCTACCGGTTCGTCCCGAATCTACCCGCTGGTCGGTTCATGCAAAGCCAATAACCGAGTTTAAATAGGACAACACGAAGCTTGCGAGCTCCGAGATGGCGACAAGTCCAAGTGGGGTGGCAAGGGCGTCACCAAGGCTGTTGAGAACGTCAACTCCATCATTGCCCCCGCATTGATCGAGAAGAACCTCGACGTCAAGGACCAGTCCGCAGTCGACGAGTTCCTTAACAGCCTCGATGGCACCCCCAACAAGACCAAGCTCGGTGCCAATGCCATCCTCGGTGTCAGTCTGGCTGTTGCCAAGGCTGGTGCTGCTGAGAAGGTAACTACTCATGAATAGTCCCAAACGTGCACTGAAGTCGGAGGCTAACGGCAAACCATTAGGGTGTCCCCCTGTACGCTCACATTTCCGACCTCGCTGGCACCAAGAAGCCCTACGTCCTTCCCGTTCCCTTCATGAACGTCCTCAACGGCGGGTAAGTGTTGGATCCTGCCCTGGTGGCCAAAGCTCCTCCACTCTCCAAATGATGCTAACGTGTAGCTAGTTCCCACGCCGGTGGCCGTCTCGCTTTCCAGGAATTCATGATCGTGCCTTCGTAAGTGCTGAAGCCGAGTTTGCCACCATGAGCATATTGCTAACGATATCCGTAGTGATGCCCCAAGCTTCTCTGAGGCCCTTCGCCAGGGTGCTGAAGTTTACCAGAAGCTCAAGGGTCTTGCCAAGGCCAAGTATGGCCAGTCTGCTGGCAACGTTGGTGACGAGGGTGGTGTTGCCCCCGATATCCAGACTGCCGAAGAGGCTCTCGACCTCATCACCGATGCCATTGAGCAGGCCGGTTACACTGGCAAGATGAACATTGCCATGGATGTTGCATCCAGCGAGTTCTACAAGGAGGACGTCAAGAAGTACGACCTCGACTTCAAGAACCCCGACAGCGACCCTACCAAGTGGATCACCTACGAGCAGCTTGCCGACCTCTACGGCAGCCTCGCTAAGAAGTACCCCATTGTCAGCATTGAGGACCCCTTCGCTGAGGATGACTGGGAGGCCTGGAGCTACTTCTACAAGACCCAGGATATCCAGATCGTCGGTGATGACTTGACTGTCACCAACCCTCTGCGCATCAAGAAGGCTATTGAGCTCAAGGCCTGCAATGCCCTCCTCCTCAAGGTCAACCAGATCGGTACCCTGACTGAGTCCATCCAGGCTGCCAAGGACTCCTACGCCGATGGCTGGGGTGTCATGGTCTCTCACCGTTCTGGTGAGACCGAAGATGTCACCATCGCTGACATCTCTGTCGGTATCCGATCCGGTGAGATCAAGACTGGTGCCCCCGCTCGCTCTGAGCGTCTGGCCAAGCTTAACCAGATTCTCCGCATCGAGGAAGAGCTTGGTGAGCTCGCTGTCTATGCTGGTGCCAACTTCCGCAAGGCTGTCTCCATTTAAGCGACTCAAGTTCTATGTGGGGCTAGCATCCAAGGGAAGTCGTCTTTTGGGTCTTTTTTCGAACTGCGATTCTGCGACTCAGATCATGAAGCTATAATGAAAAATAAAAATGACGAGGGTTGTCCCGAGGTAAAGGGGCAAAGTCCAATTACGATGCTTGGACTCTTAACGAAGAATAAAAATAAATAAAATACCTAGTTTGATTGATAGTTCTCTGTGTATGAAAGTCTTGAGGATGAGACAGTCCAGTCCAACTGGTGTGATTGATAATTTAGATTATTTGAAGGTACAGGGTAGGGATGAGTGTAGGTGTGGCGCTAGACGCCACGATCCCCCTCCTGCCGCCACAGGCACTAACCTGTCACCACAGCAACGGATAAACAGCACTAATAATAATATTTACTCTTGGTGGTGCAGCTCCATAAACCGCCCTAGACCGGACGTGATTTGAACATCACGCATGCATACTTCTTTGGCTGATCACTACAATACTATACTGGCCAGTCGAGGTGGCTGTTGTCAATGATAATATTTCTCTTTAATTCTTACTAACTCAGCAGCGACCATGGCATCCAACGATGCGATCGATTTTGATTTGATCGAGGGCCAGAAGGAGAATATCCAATCCTTGCCTGGCGGGCGTTCTGCCAAGAAGCTCGCACAGGTCTACTCTCCTACTCCCCTGGGCAAGCTTGCCACGCCTACACCATCAGACACAAGGAGCGTAAACGACTGCATTCGCGCAGAGTACGAAGCAGAAATCCAAAACCTTGCCGAGTCTGACGATCCCTTGGATGTATTCGACAGATATGTACGCTGGACGCTGGACGCATATCCTTCAGCCCAAGCCACACCACAATCACAACTGCACACTCTTCTTGAGCGGGCAACTAAGGCATTCATCAGCTCTTCACAGTACAAGAACGACCCTCGATATTTGAAGATGTGGATGCACTACATCCAATTCTTCTCCGATAGCCCAAGGGAGACATATCTGTTCCTTTCGCGACATGCAATCGGTGAACGTCTTGCTTTGTTTTACGAAGAGTACGCAGCCTGGCTTGAGGGAGCTGGACGATGGTCACAAGCCGAAGAGGTCTACAAGTTGGGAATCGAGCAAGAGGCACGCCCAGTCCAGCGGCTGCTCCGAAAGTTCAAAGAGTTCGAGGAACGGCGGGCACAGCAGCCAGAGGGCGCCGATGAGCCCTCATCACCTGCCTTTCCAACAGTTCGGCCTGCTCTGGCCATGAAGGTTGACCCGTTTGGCGCAGCTGCGGCCTCCAGCCCGAGAGACCCCCAAGCACAACGGCAATCCGGCTCAAGCCGCAGCACCAAGCCTCCCAAGGCAAAGCTTGCCATTTTCTCCGATGCGGATGCAAAGCCGTCCGTGTTATCGACGAAGGAGACGGGGTCCAAGGGATGGGACACGATCGGTTCAATGGCGGAGAGGAAGAAGGAAAACACGATAGAGCCCAAGCCATGGGCGGGGGAGACTCTCAAAGCAGGCGGAAAGAAGCCTGCGGCGGAAAAAATGTCTGTTTTCAGGGATGCGGTAAGTTCACTCTCCGATTACCCCTCTACTCACTCGCCTAAATGTTGATGGCAGTAGGACTAATGCATGGATATCGGGTGCTTCTTGCTGTAATTTAGTCACTTGCTCAAATACAGAACATTGTTGTTGTTCCATCCAAGAATCAAGTCACCGTACACCCTCAGACGGGGAAGAGAGAGAGGATATTTGCTAACCTTTCCGTGCTCTATCCTACCCCTGAGGAGCCTGGGACCGAGCTTTGCTTCGAAGAGGTCATGGCGGCTCATCGGGGTTGGCTCGATTATGACTGGGACCGTGTAGCTGATGACAGGAACACCATCCAACAACAACAGCCCGAACAGGTGATTGAAGAAGTCACCAAGGCTGTAAGTGAAAAACTAGTTATCCACCATGACGTTCTCATGGACGAGAATGGACAAAGGGTAGAGCCACCTCGCCAATCGAAGGCTGGCAGGAAGAAGAAGATGATGGAAGTGAATGAAACACAGATCAGTAAGTTTCCCCTGAATATCGTCCCAAAATGCCACGCCCTGCCTCGAGGTCTTTTTGCATGTGTATGTATGCTTATACTTACTATCGAATCTAGTCAAAGCAAAGCTGGACTCGCCTTCGGGTCCCAAGTTACGCAAGAAACATACCTCTGAGCCCACAATGACACTGCATACAAGAGCAGCTACCGATGACATATATGACATCTTTAATGCACCCCTTAAACAGCCATCTATGGGTGAAGATGATGAGAGCGACAATTATGATTCTGATGACTATACGACTGATGCAGAAAGCACAACGAGACAACTAGATAATGATGATGTTGAAGAGGAAGAGGAGGAAGACGAGAACGAGGCGGGTGACGAGGAGGAGGATGACCTGCGCAGTGTGAGCGAATGGTCAGATTTCAACACACACAAACACAGCCCACTCACCGAGGGCCAAGAGGAAGGTCACGACGAAGTCAGCGCAGCCCAAGCCACGGAGTTGATAGATCCAACCTTCCAACGCGACGGCAGCATTGATCAAGAGGAATACGACGAACAAGAGGACGAAGAAAACATGTCTGCGGTAGAACTCTCGCCTCCCCGGACACGGACAAGCTTTGTCCCCATCCTGCCTGAGGATTATGACCCGCCGCCGACTCGGCCATATAGGGATGCGGCCGAGATAGCTAACAACCGTCTCCCGTTCATGACTCCAATCACTGAAAGGACCGAGGTATCCCTTGATATTGAAGTTCAGCAGCGACGGGACCAGTTCAAGACCCCCTGCAAGCAAGATGGCATGGCAATATTCCGTGACGATCCTGAGCAGGATGGAGAGCCGTCTGATTTGGAGGCTATGAGCAGTCCTCTGCGAGAAATTCTCAGCAACGAACGACCTGTGGCTAAGACACCACTTCAACCTGCATCGGTCTTGGCATTAACTACAGCGTCGTCGAAAAAGCCTCTTCGAGCTAAAGGCCCTATAATTAAAGACGCCCAATGCAACCCGGTGGACGAAGAGGTTCGCAAGCAGATTCTCTCACAAACACAGCCACCGCTTGACTCATTTCGCGGGTTTTATCACCACCGTGAAGAGAAATTCGAGCGTGGCAGTGATATCCGCAAGTTTGCAAGGACATTTCGCCGGACTAGTAGAGGCTCTTCAGGCGACAAGGCAGGCTCGCCACCCGCACCAGTCACTATCGAATTCCCTGATAACTCTGCGTCATACGTCTTGAAGCGTGAACTTGGTGCAGGCGCCTACGCCCCTGTCTATCTCGTCGAGAACCAGGATCCTGACGAGGAGGCCGAGACAGATGAGAATGCTGTTGTTGCCATGGGGAGGGGATCCTTCGCAGTCAATCGCCGCAACGAACTTGAGGCGCTGAAGATGGAAACTCCACCATCAGCGTGGGAATTTTATATGATGCGAGTTGCCCACAACCGCTTAGGGCCACGACACCGAGCCTCAGCCTCGCTATCGTACGCTCACGAAATGCATCTGTACCAAGACGAAGGCTACCTCTTCCTGCCCTATCACCCGCATGGCACGATCCTCGACGTTGTCAATTTATTCCGTGCAGAAGCTTCTGGTGTTATGGATGAGCAGCTTGCCATGTTTTTCACCATCGAGCTAATGCGAACAGTAGAGTCTCTACATGCAAAGGGTGTTCTGCATGGAGATATCAAACCGGACAACTGTCTTCTTCGCCTAGACACCGCAATCAATGGATCCCAGGAGCAGCGTACCGCCCAGTCACTCAATAGCCAGTGGAAGGCCGACGGTACCGGTGGTTGGGATTCCCGCGGCATCACACTTATTGACTTTGGCCGCGCCATCGACATGCGCGCTTTCAGGCCCGATGTCCAGTTCATTGCTGAGTGGAAAACGACGGCTCAAGATTGTGCCGAGATGCGCGAGGGGCGGCCCTGGACCTGGCAGGTTGACTATCACGGCCTCGCCGGAACTATTCATTGCCTCCTCTTCGGCAAGTACATCGAAACGATCCGCTGTGACGAAGGTGGACTTACCCGCGGAGGCCGCCGATACCGCATCCGCGAGAGCCTGAAGAGATACTGGCAGACAGACCTTTGGAGTGAGTGTTTCGAGGTGCTGCTGAACCCGAGCTCCTTTGTCGACGCTGAGGAAGGGGGCCAAATGCCTGTATTAAAATCCATGCGGGGTCTTAGGGAGAAGATGGAGACTTGGCTTGAGGATAATTCCGAGAAAGGAGTTGGGCTGAAGTCGCTAATGGGAAGATTAGAGGCGTTTGCTAAGACACGCAAGTGAGAGGAAAACAAGGGGAAAGTATGTTGTCAGAGCAACTGCTTAACAACACAACAAGTTTTATGTTTGCATGGCTGGTGTTGGAGAATATTTTGTTGCTGTTAAGGATGGATCGTTTGAGATTTGGCTGTTTATCTTATCTTCCACGCGCCGAGGCTTCGATTCCTTGTTATACCTCGTACATCTATTTCATTATACCCTATTAGACAGGCGCGTGAGTTGGCTCATCGATTATCAAGCGGCCTTAGTTACCAATTAGCTATTTCACCCATGAGGAAACATATCCTATTGAGTTTTCAAGCCTTCCTCTTCTTTGTGCCTTTCTTAGCATCTTTTTCATTTTTCCTATCCACCTGGTCCTGGATCTTGGCTCGTTCACTGGCACCTTTGGCTTGCAGCTCTATCTCAAGCTCAGTGAACTCCTTACTATCTCTGTCCATGCCAATCAAACTTTCCAAAAGCTTGATCTCGTCGGCCCAGACTTGTTTATCTTCGATGGTCTTACCCTTCTCATCTTTCTTGTCGATGGGCGTTTCCAGCACCATTGGCATATTGCAGAATGAGTCGTCATTCATAATGCTGTGGAATGCCCCGAGTCCGAGGAACCCGGTGCCGATGTTTGCGTGAAGGTCTCTGTTGGACTCAAAGGGAGCTTTGCTGTCGTTCACTATCGTCATGTCAGGGCTGAAGCTGTTGGAAGAATTAAGAATGTTAGAAGGGAACTTACGATGAAATGCCTTCAAGTACTTGGCGCCAACGATTTTGTTGAAAGCATCCATGGTAGCCTTGAAAGTCTCTGGTGTCCGCAGGTCATGACCCGCCGCGAAAGCGTGGCAGGTGTCGATGCAAACGCCCACGCGCTCCTTGTCATCCACCAACTCGATGATGTCCCTGAGATCCTCCCACGTCGAGCCGACGACGTTTCCAGCGCCGGCCATGTTCTCCAATACCGTGATGACGCTGGTGGTCGCCTTGTGGGACTTGTTCAGTTGCGCCGCGATGCGCGCACAAGCTGCCTTCTTCGTATCGCCGCCGGTATTACCCGGGTGGAAGTTGTAAAGCTTTATTCCCAGCTGCTCGCACCGCTGCAAATCGTCCAGGAAGCCGTTGTAAGCCTGGGTAGCCTTTTCTTTGTCTGCTTGCGCGAGGTTGACTAGGTAGGATCCATGGGGGATGGTGTGCTCTCCAGCACTATATCCGTGCTCTTTGCATTGGCTGATGAAGAGGTCTTTGGATTCTTTGGATATGGGAGGGTTGTCCCATTTTCGCTGGGACTTGAGAAAGAGGGAAAACGAGTTGGCGCCAATTTGGATAGCGTTCGTTACTGAATTCTGGGCACCTATTATATCACCTTGCGGTTAGCAGATGCGATAGATGTCGAGGCGAGAACACTGTCAAGGAGCCATGTTCTCTTGTTAATGCCATTGACATACCTCCTGCGGCACTGACATGAGCGCCGATGTACATTGCCTTCTTCAGCGAGGAGATGGCGGTACGCTCAGCAAGAGGCATTGCGTCGCTGGAGCTTCCGTTGGCGGCCTTCCTCTTTTTGGGGGCTGACTTGGACTCGTCTTTGATAGCGGCCGCCTTGCGCTTTGGTGGCATTTTGACCAGGTCTGAGGTTGTGGATGAGCAGCAACCCCGTTGATTGGGGCTTTTCTGTTTTGATGGTTGAGGTAGCTTCTTTCTACTGTAGTTGATTTCACGGATGCGAATATTAGTGATGAACGACAGTAGAGGGAATCCAAGGGGGTAGGAGTAACGCGAATCAATTTACGCGGCAGGAGGGCGCCATTGACACGCTCTCACGTGACTCAATTGCATCTTCCATACCCATGTATAATTATCAATCAGCCTACCCTGTTGTGGTGAATATGCTTGCTTTTTGACGTTTATTTTTCTCTGCCATGAGAGAGGATCGGTGAATATGGTTCTGGTGTTCATCCTGAAAACCTGTAACAAGGCGAGGAGATCCCGACGCCCGGAATAGCTATACGTTGAGCACCGATAGTCGGCGGCTCTTCACTTAAATCCTCTTGCGGCGCTATCACACTACTGAGAGCACATGATGACAGGAAAACTGACGATTTAAAGATGCTGGCTAAAACTTTTGTAAATCAATGCTTTTAAGCGCACAATATTATTCGCTGTAGATGACAAAATATAACAAAAAGAAGCTAATGAATGATTTCAAGTTCGGAACTTCGACTAGGCGCAAACTTGTCCTTGTATGCGTCCCATAACCTTTCCACTTCCTGGATATAAAGCTCGTGAAGGCGATCAATCTCTTCCTGTGGAGGTTGGGCACCATAGGCTTGGCCGACTTCAATGGGCTTTCCGACAACGATATTGACTGGTCGTCGATAGGGCATCAGTCCAATATCGTAGTTGAGAACACCCCGGCCGTGTAGAGCAGGCAACGTAAATTTGAAGACCTTCAAGATGACCATCTGGAACTTGTGGACCATTGGGTGTGTCTTCGGGCTGAGCTGATCGTACAAATCGGTCTCCCCGAAACCCACCACGGGGACGAGGTCCGCGCCGGTGCGCAGCGCCATCTTGACGAAGCCCTTGCGGTTGTGAAGAACAAGTCGTAGAGTCCCTGGCTGAGCCTCGAGCGACTCGCGAGCTCCGCCAATGACAATCGTCACAGCGCGGCCTGTACCGTCGTTATTTGGGCCACCCGTGGTAAGTAGGTTAGTGATGGATTCTCTTGACACGGAGCCCATGCCCAAGGCCAGGATCCAGTCCCGGTAGAATGGAAGTTTGAAGTTGGATTCCAGCGTTAGTAAGGTATTGGTGATGCCGGGGAACTTTTGCGCAAACCCCAAGGCATTGGTAGCGAAAGCGCAAAAAGCTCCATGGGAGATGATGCCGTGTGGATGATACCCAAGGATATATTTCTTCTTGGGCGACAGGCTATGCGTCCTGTGAAGCTTCATTGGAAAGTAGCTCGCGAACAGCCTCCACAACGGAAGAGACCTCAAATACTCGGAGCGGAAAGATAAGCGGCCATTCGAGGCAGCAGTAGAAACAGAGAGATGGATGAGATATGGGAGGAGAATGGGCCAAGCCAGAGGGTTTGCGCAAGTGAACCAGAAGACGGATACAAATGATACAATGGACATGCAGTGGAAGAGCACAGCAGCAGTCTGCATTCGTCGAATGAAGGGGATCTTGATCGGCGCAAATCGAATGCCCCCAGCCTGCCAAGCTTCCTGCTCATAGTCTGGGTAGCTTGCCTCGCCCGGGGGAGGCATCTTCATGGGGCCATTATGATGAGCGCTGCTTGGGAAATCGTCAGAGCCCAAGTCCGAGTCCTCATCAGCTACGGCGGCGGCATATGACTTGGCGCCACCATTTATTCTGTGCCTCAGGGAGCCATTGTTATGACCATTCGCGGTACTGCCATTGATGCCTGTCGATTTGATATCACGATCCTGTGCATCCGGAATCAGCCCAAGTACTTATACCCCCCGTTGCGAGCTGGGCAAGAGCTCTAGTATTACTTACAGCATGTCCGTTCTGATCCGGCGAGGCAGTTGGCGATGCATCATCCGCGGGGAGGGGGATCGTGGTCACCTTCTCGGGAAGCCCTGGGTCCTTGCTGACTGGTGTTCCCGTTAGTAGAGCGATCGGTGAGAGAGCATGCGCGGCCGCCTAGACAATCCGTTCAGCTGGAGCTATGCTTACAATCAGGCACAGGGACGGGCTCAGAGACAGTGGCGTCGGCCATGCTGGCGGAATAAAGTGGGCGAATATTCAAAACAATTCAATCAGTAAGTGAAGCGCACCGCCCGATGAAAATTTAGAGGGCCAGTGCCTTTTAAGTAAGACAGGATCTGCAGGGTACTACAGGACGCGTGAGAATCAGAAGCTTCGGAGAAGACGAAGCATTAGGAGCAGTCTGGATGACGTCGATTAGGCCGGAAAGTGTGTTGATGACACGTGAAAGCGGGACCAGAGCAAGAGCTGGGAGCATCCTGTCGGCTGGGCGGCATGGAACTTGACACACGAAAAACACGATCCATCGCATTAATCTCAATGATGTCCAAATACCAAGACACAGGTACATGCCACGACCGAACTTGATGTTATTATCGGGTTTAGCTATTTTTTCCTGGAGTTGTCGCGAGCGCGATGGAAACACGGGCCTCTTCTTTACTTGCATGTCTCTATAGGATATGAGTATAGTGATACTTGTTTCCTCTACTAATCCTCTAAGAGAGACAGGTACCGGTACCTACCTTGCGTTTCACAGCAGCCGCTGAGTCATACGAGGATTTGGCCACAGCTTAACGAGGTGCCGCGGCCCTTGCGCAAATGCCCATTGCACACATCTATAACGGGTAGGTTCTCGTGTTTTATACTATTTTTTTCGCCAATCATGTCATGTAGGAAATTCCACCTTACAATGGGCCGGCCGCGGCTAAGACCGAGAGGGAATGCATGAGGCTCAAATCAAGGACGAACAAGGAACGGGACACATCCAATGCTACCCGTCCCCTAACACCCCCCTGTACAAAACTGCCAAGGCAGATTAGGTAGCCTGATAGCATGATAATTCTCCTGCAGGACGATATTGAGGGACCTGCACGCTCGCGAGCCTCGGCCAAAAAGGAAAAAAAAAAAAAAAAAAAAAAAATCAAGGTCAAGCTCACTTTGGGAGGGATGCATCCAATACGACGAGAGGTGTTCATGTCAATTGCCAGATACATTCCAGATTACCAACTCGAAACAAGCCCCTGGGGTGAAAATTCATCGCCGTGCAGCGCCTTTGCGAAGCATTAACCACTCCCAATTTTTTTTGTGTATCATACACTGACACTGACATGGACAACATGCAGCTGTCCGGAACCAAGCTCTTAGTAGTCAGCAGCCATCTGTGCCTACCATCCACCAAAGTCTTCGAGAAATAATCCGTGGAGCTAACGACAGGGGTAAGAATAAACGCAAACGCCATCAACAAGTCAAGTAGAAACCCATGGATCCCATCCGTCGCATCTCGAAAATGATCAAAAGAACGACCTGCAAGTATGCCACCAAACAACCATGACGCATACCAATAAAACCCAGATGGCAAAACCTATATATCGGATCAATAAAAGAAGAAACACTGCCGCGAGGTCATTGTGGTTCGCCGTTCGCTCGTATCTATACATCATGGCATGCATGCAGCCCATTTATTGGGCAGAAGTAGCCACAGCAGCAGCAACGGCAGCAGCAGCAGCGGCGGCAGACGCCCCGTCGCGATTATCTAGCTGTTTCTTTAAGCTTAGAACCTCGTGATCGAGGGTCGATACCTTATCGTTGAGGGATTTGACTTTTTCTTCCAAATTGTGGATATAAGCCCAGACATTCGAATCAGCTTGCACAAACAAGTTTCGGTTATCACCGCCAGGCTGCTGACCACTTAGAGTACGTCCATGGCTACTGAACTTGGGTGAACTGGTAGGTGGTGGGTATGATGGATGTGACAAGCCCGGCAACTTTGTCTGTGCTAGACCCGCGGGCGGTGGCTGCAAATCTGAGAGTCGCCGGCTTCCCTGCTGCTGCTGAGTTTGTTGTGGTAGCCCGGGAGAGCGTTGGCGAGTCGAGTTTGAGGATTCATGGCTGGGAATACCAGGGCTCAATGGCTTGGGACTCTCCGTCATCCCAGCCTGCGAGTACATGCCTCCGTTCCCACCACTGGCAGGAGCTGAAGAAATGCTGGTGTTGGGTGTATGCGCACTAGCCATGCTGTTCGGAATACTCGACGACGTAGTGCTGCCAGCCTGATTCTGACTGACATTGGAAGCAAATAGCGAGCTACCGGTCGGTCGGGTTAGAGCGGGAGGGTATGTGCGGGAGTGGTTGCTATAGCTCTCATTGTCACTGCTTGCCACATGCTGTGCATGGACAGTAGGCAGGCTCTGCCTCCGAAGATCCTCTTCCTCTCCATTCTCGTATCCTATCCCTGACATGGCTGATTCATCTGCCTCCCCCATGGAATGGCCGTCGAGGTCGTCACCGTCGGCAAAGCTCCCCATGCTGGATCGTCGCCCAGCACACCCTCCGGCGCCCTTGCTGTGTCGTGCCAATGCATCACCTCGAGCAAATTTCCGATCACACTTCGGGCAAACGTGTGGCTTCTCGCCCGTGTGAAGCTTCCCGTGTCGCTTCAAGTCGTGAAGACGGCGGAATCTTAGAGGGCACTCGGTGCATACGTATGGTTTCTCTTGGCTGTGCGTGAGGAGGTGGCTCTTCAAATTGTGATGTCGCGTGAACTCGGTATTGCAGTAAGGGCACTTGTGCTTCTTGGACGAGGATGAAGTGGGTGAACCTTGTGAATGGCCAGGTATGGGAAAGCTCATACCGCGAGGAGTCGTTTCCGCTAGACTGTTACTCGCTTGTAGCGACCCAGGGTACGACAATGAGCTTGCTTGAGCTCTCTCCTCATGGCCTATCACTTCATGCGACAAACCATGAGGCAGATCCTTGAGGTCTAGGTCCATCGGGGTCGGGCTCGTCGTCACGCCAGCGCCAGTAATACCTCCAGGGCTTTGTGGAGTAGTCTCCCTATGCTCGTCAATACGGTTTGACGTGTCTGTAGAAATCGGTGCAGAATTGGGGTGTTTGGACGCGGCAGATTCCATGGCAGCTACAGGAACCATCTGGGGCGCGTCATTGGACCGGTTGATAGCCTCCTCGGCTGCGCCCGACAACAAAGAAGCAAGTACCCTGTGACTGGAATTATCGGCACTCGACTGGGGGCTCACTTCTCGTTCGGCTTCCCGTCGCCTTCTTTCGTCCCCTAAAGCTGCTGCGCCAGGCAACGGGGGTGGAGATTGTGCGGTCGCGAGGGCAAGGCGGGCGGATTTCGATGGAGAGCCGAGAGCATTGGGCCGACTCGAGTCCAGAGGCTCCGGAGAGGTAGGCGTAGCCTCGCGTTGGCGCTTCAGTGTTCTCATGCCATCCTCAGAGGTGATGATGGCTGGGGCAGCTAACGGTGGTGATGTGCGCGAGGACGGCGGGGCTTCGGTCGCGACGGCGCCCGGATTGGACGCCATGAAAGCTAGAGATGATATTGTACGTGTGGGTTATAAGGGGATAGAAATATTTCGGGTTGGGGCGTTGAATGCAGAGATGGTCAACGCCAATACATCGGAAGGTCGCGGCTCAGAAGTGTGGCTGAAGATCGTGGCGAGAGCTGGCCCAGCAATTAATTGTAGTACCTTCAACCTCTGCGGATTCTACTGTGTTTTTTCTCGGGCAAAAAAATTGAGCATCTGGCCAAGCGACAGGAGCTATTGGCAGCGGGACAGGGCGAGCTGCAGTGAAACACGATGGGGGGAAAAGGAAGTCGCGAAATTGGGTGGTGACAACGGCGATGATAGATCCGGCGGCGGTGCGTGATGTGGGAACGGGAGCTGGATGGTGATGAGGGAGAGAGCGTTTGACGGCAGATGGGGCTGGGCTTGGCTGGACTGGCTGAGTTGAGAGGTCCACCCTGGTGCAGTCATCAGCCACTGACCAGCCCTGGTTGCTGGAGGTTGTCAGTGGGAGCACCTCCTATCACAAGGTACCTCTGCTGTGCGCGGAGCCACGCTGCAGGAGCGGGTTGCAGGCGCTAACCCGGTACCTGGTGCTGGATCCTCCGGGTCGCAGCCGGCGGAACAGACTGGATGTCAGATGTGTGCAAGGCGTCCGAAGTAGGCGTCACGGCGACGAACAACAGGGAAGGATCCGCCTATTCTCCCTCTGCTTCTTTCCCAAAAGGAACACAAATACCGATCGAGAGATGACCAAGACCGGATTTTTTGCGCCCTCGTGGTCGGAACACGAACACGGAGCCTACCAAGTTGCTGTGGACGAATCACTGGCTCGTGGCAGTACGGTGTGCCTCACTCCTCTGCGCCGCCCGGGCGGGTAGGCAGCTAATTAGCGTGGGCGGGGTGGCGTAGACTCTCGACCTACGTATTGCCAGGAATCACGCTGTAATACAAAATGAGTCGACGAGATCAGATATTACGCCCCTCTTAGTCGAGGTCTGGCAGAATATAGAACCAAGCAGAATCCAATGACCAAGTTCTTCCTCAGCTCTTTTCCGCACGTTGTTGCGACCAACCAGTCGACACCCACCGGGATTGCGCATCTTGTTTTGAGATGGACATCACTTACGTATATGGAGCCCCCCATATTTCGTCGGTTCGAAGCAGGGACCGGCTATTCGTCGAGTCAAGGATATACGTAGTGTTCTGCTAAGGTTCTGTTGGCAGACTTCAGCCGCAGCAGCACAGCCATCATTAGTTGTTTGATGTTGAGCCTATAGATCCCTCGGCTGGTCTGGACGTAATCCTATAAATAATACTAACACACATCGTCGCCTTGATTCGTATTACACATGTTTGAGTGTGGCGCATGCGACACCACTCCATCGGCCCCCTCCTCAAGTCCCCTACTTGGATCAAATCAAGCTACTAAGCCCACATGAGGGTGCCTTTTCACTAATGTTCGCGAAAGGAAACTGACTAGACAGATAGCCTTACACGAGGCGCCCTTAATACTGGGAATTCTAATTTGGCGGTGGCCGCATGGAAAGTGCAAACTCTCGTGTCAGGCCTGTAACGCGACTAATACGGCGATCAGACAGTGACAAGTCCCGTGCAGCCAGCCAATGCGGCGGGAGTCAGAACCCCCGGTTTTCTTTACCGTAAGGCTCACCAGCGGCAAGCCCATTGTGATTGCTCACAAGCACACAAATATTCGGTAACAAACCTTCTTCGGTCTTCAGCCCACCGCGGGGAGAGGGCATAGTGCAACAGCCTGTCAGCCTCATGATCCCATTGCTATGTATACAGACGGCTGCTGCCTACGGACGATGCCCTTACTCGCCAGACACCTCCCTGGCAACCAATGAGCTGTTGTAGTACCATGCCAAGCATCATCTAGTCTCAGCCTTGATCGTCATCTTATGCCACAACAGAAGCCCTGTGTCTCGCAGGCACCATAGATGGCTCCCCTCTAGGCTCTCCCTGCGCATCAAAATTCAAGTCGGTCTTCAACAACTAATAGTAGCCCCACCTTTGTCTTGGAAAGTCAAGATGCACTCATACTGTAAGCTGACAAACTAATCTGCAACTTCAGCGACCTGAACGCCACAAGGCGCATCAATCCCTTGACGTGATTTGCCTTCTTATTTGGGCCGCATCTGACTCTTACTTCCTTTCAGGATTTGTGACTCTCACTTGGCGGGTGAAAACGGGATTCTCGATCCCTCAATGGATCCTAGTGTCATCTCAATGCCGCTCATCGAGGCAGATTAGATGTCTTAGAAGTCATCGCAGCTACGTTCCAGAAGTCCGATCACGTAGGCCTCAGCAGCAGTTATTGTGTTATGAATCTGGATACAGAATCCAGGCCGGCGGAAACAATGAAGAGCATGGAGCAGCTACCGTCGCCATGGCACAGCATGAAACATCTACACGTTATTTGCGGTAGCCGTTGTCTGTACTATGTAAGTGTTTGGTGCGCATGTGGACATTTGCCAAATTTCACAATCGCGCTCGACCTCTGAGGCTGATCCAAGGCATATTCCAATGCCACTAAGATATAAATATATGGACCTGCCCCCTTTTTGGATGGTTGGCCCCAAAGTGATCTTTCGATGCGGCTGGCCTCTTGCAGGACGCAGATATGGGATTTGGCTGGTGGCACAGCCGCGGGTGAGCGGGGGCTGCGTAAGTTCGGGCATAAAGTCATGTGCATGTATGGGAACCATGCACGCAGTCGATATTAAGATGAATGCTCTAATTTTCAGTTAAAGATGGAGAGTGCACAGGAGATGGCCTGGGAACGGCAATAGCAAATTGGCCGACATGGTAAGGCTGAGAGAGGAATTTAGAGGACGTGCAAGAATGGCGTGAGGGCCGGTCAGGGCTGGTCACGCAGCAGTTCCCCGCCCTGGCAGACGGTCTGGGGATTGATATTACTCAGAAGGAAGAGAGTGTCATTCATACCCGGTCGGCGGGGGAAGATCGAGTCTGGGTTTTCTCCTGGAGCGATTAATATGTATCGTGCGCAACTACATACGTACCATGGATACGTATGCAGGTGGACCAACAGTGGCCATTCATTTAACGACTTTGATTGAACGATGACGACAAGTCGCCTGTATGGAGAGGCGAAATAAACAGCCTGTAAATTTGCCGATATGAGAACGCTTTGAACACTGTGCGCATAAACCGGGATTGACGCACTGTGTCCTGGCCCAAAAATGCGGCTGGCAGGCTCGTTTGGAGGGCAACCTGCTGCAAAGAGGACTAGCGCCAGGAACACCGTCCAGAACAGGCACCAACAGCAACCGCTGCAACGCTGCAAGGTAAAGTGAGACGCTGGCGATGCACTGTGCTTGCTAGCTCCCTCTTCCTCTCTAGCACGGGATGGGGAAAGGTACCTGCAGTCCCTCCAGCGACCAACTACCGGTGTAGTCTCGGCGCCGCAACATGTTATGAGATACCTCCACTGGCACCGCTACGACTTGCCCGGGCTAGCTGCGTTGCTGTGATAGGCTCCCCCTGACGACCAACGCCCTAGCACCAACGTGCTCCAGAGCCTCCAGTCGCATCGCCCGTCCTCCCTTTGCCAGCATGAGGGTGAATAGGAGAGCCAAGTTAGTGCCAAGGTCCCGACTCAGGCGTGGCTCACGCACCATGGTGGGCGATGAGCGCTCATTGCCTGGCCCCCGCTAATTACAAGATGCCCGCCCTGGGAGGCCGCTGGCCAGTCTTGGGCTAGCATGCTCGAAGCAACAGAATTGCTGCGTCGATCGTGTTTTCAAACGGGAGGCGGCGCTTGGCTACCCCGGGCCATGGGGCATGCCATTGACCATATTTGGAGCCAGGCCGCCTGGTGGCATGCGTTTTGGCATTGCCAAATCTGTATCCCTGCCGCGCTTCTCCGGTGAGAAGCTTCTTGGTCCACCCACTAAGGTCATGTAATTTCCCAGAGACCCCAAGCCAAGCCTATTGGCCGTCTCCCCTGGCATCAAAGGATCCTGGGCCTGGGCTCGGCCTGCCCAGGCTTGGCTGGGTGCTGGTTCATTCAAACTTGGGCGTATCCCTCTTCGTCGCTTGCCCGTCTCTCTTTCTGCTTCGTAGCGTCCTATCGTGTTGTTTCATCCGCAATTTGAGAGATCTCTCTCCTCCACGCTCCTTGAGGTGCCTACCCTTACGCTCGTTTTAATCGTTTATATTCTGTCTGTCTGCCTGCCTGATTTACGCGGGAGGAATAATCATTGCTATCCGTTCATCTTGTAAGTGCGATCAAAGGAGGGTTGGAGAGGCGAAATCAACATCGTGGGGTATACTTGCTCGCAAAGGGCTTTGGGTGTTGCGATACAGCGATTCGCTTCTGTCATGTTGAGATTGGTGGCTTGCTAACATTCTATACTCAAGATTCTCAACGCTATCACGATGAAGTCCGCTGTCAAGTACACCATCGCGGCCACTTTGGCTGTTGGCGCAAGCGCTGCCGCTCACCAGCACCCGGGGCACCAGCTTTATCATGCCAAGAAGGACATTGGCTCGCCTGTCAAGCGTGAGGCCAGCGTCGTCCAGGTCTTGGTCGAGCCCACCGAGACCGTTTACCTGCTCGGTGGCAGCGAGATTGATGAGACCAAGGCCAAGCAGGGTATTGCCGATGGCAAGTTTATCGTTATTGGAGAGTCCAACCCTACAGCCGCTCCCGTCACCATCGCCGAGCAGCCAACCGTCAGCGCTGCTGCTAAGGGCGGTCTCTTCGTTGAGGAGCAGTCTTCTTCCTCCTCCTCCTCCTCCTCTTCTTCGTCTTCCTCGGTCGCTCCTCAGCCCACCACCACGACCGTCATCCAGAGCTTGACCACCTCGTCCGCAGCTCCCGCCTCGACATCCTCCGCCAGCTCATCCCCCAGCACCGGCACCGGCCTGACAAAGACTTTCAAGTCTAAATCGGTCTCTTGCGACAGCTTCCCCTCCGACTATGGCGCTATTGCCCTTCCCTGGCTCGGTCTCGATGGCTGGTCCGGTATCCAGAAGTTGAAGAAGTACAACCCTAGCCAGATCTACAACCTCGTGACCGGAGTCAAGGGCGAGAAGTGCGAGTCTGGAGGTCTCTGCACCTACGCCTGCCCTCCCGGTTACTTCTCTACCCAGTACCCCCTTGAGGATCAGCAATCTGACGGAACCAGCATTGGTGGACTTTTCTGCAACAGCGATGGCAAGCTCGTGCTCACCAACCCTGACATCGATGTTCTTTGCAAGGCCGGTGAGGGAGGTATCTCGGTCAAGAACGAGCTGTCCAAGGGCGTCGCCGTCTGCCAGACCATGTACCCCGGTACTGAGAACATGGTTATTCCTTCCTACGCCGCGGCTGGCGGTACTGTCGAGCTCTTGAACCCCAAGCAGGACTTCTTCAAGTGGGGTGGTGCTAAGACTTCCGCTCAGTTCTACGTCAACAAGGCCGGCTACACCGTGGAGGAATCTTGCCAGTGGGAGCCCGAGCACGACCCGACTGGCGCCGGTAACTGGGCTGCAATCGTTATTGGCGTTGGCAAGGACGGCGATAACACCTACATTTCCATTCTCCCCAACACCCCCACCAGCACTGCTGTCCTCGGCTTCAACATCGAAATCACCGGTAAGGGCCTCATTGGTTCCTGCAAGTACGAGAACGGTATCTTCTCCAACGGCGACCCCAAGGGTTGCACGGTAAGTGATACCCCAGGGCACATGGGTGTTCTTTACTCTCCATTGCTTGCTTTGTATGCTAACTATTTGACACAGGTTACCGTCCCCTCGGGCGGAAGCGCTGTCTACCGCTTCTACTAAGTTATGTCGCGTATTGGACTATATGATCGATTTGCATAAGATCCCGCATTTATTTTTCTTGTGGATATTGTTTTCGACAGCATACCGGCATCTATTCTAGTATTCTTATTTGAAGGAGGGACCGATTGGGAATGATGAGGGACTTGGCTGGTGTTCATAATGTCAAGGCGGCGGCGGAGAGTGGAAAGGAGGCCCGGCCTACACTTGACGGCGGGCGGGCAGACATGTCTGTCGGTCGTCGAGTCAAAACGGGGCGTGGCCGATTCCGTTCGCCGCCGCTGCAACCCGAACCTACTTAGCCAAGATGATTGCGCTTACATATTGCGGGAGCTGTTTTATTCTGTCCGACTGTACTTATTATCAGGACTACCCCACCGTCGTCGATGGATCTGGAGTTGATGGAGGCAGTAGCTGGCTGATTGTTTAATTACGTGTTGTTTTGTCCGACTGCCTTATGTGCCGTACTGTAATGACCTGATTGCTTGCTTTGCAATGAAACCTGTGTTTAATTGAGAGATGCGTGAGATGGATGTGGCCTTGGGTGGTATATGTAGGTCGACGTAGATAGCGGCTAACACTAACACCCACCCGGACAAATTACAATCTTCAACGGATGTGGATGAGGATTTCCACGTCTTCTCGTCCAATAGATTCATTCGTCGGTGATACAAAGCCACCGTAGATGAACCTGGCACTAAATCCCCGCACTCGCCATTACAACCTCCTTGAACGCCACCAATAGCGGCAGTCTAGCCATCGACTATTGGATTGGATCTTTAGGTCATGTTAACGTCGACCTTATCGCAGCAATAGTGCCAATACAACATGTCGCTCTGGTGCGACGCCCTAGTGCAGCCGTTATCTGCTGTATCTGCCGTGGCGAACTCAGCTCGTGCATTAGCATGGAAGCCACCTCGTGACTTAGCCGCCACCTTATCTGCATTATCCATGATGTCTACATCGAAGCATCCAGCCAACCAGCCAGCACACAGAGAACGGGCTCCGCTTGGCAATGCAACACGGCATTGGGCTTCTCCTCTTCGTGTGCATATGTGTGTGTGCTTGCATGCAATGTTTTAGGTAGATAATGTAATGTGCTCAGAACCCCAGACGGGCGGCACAAGATGTCTTCCCTCACCAGCCTCGTCTATTACATCATTCCGTTATCACCACCAACCCTGGGCTTCATTCCATTTCCCCGCAGCCCGTCCAACTTTCGCCGTTATTCACACACCTGAAATACACAGCATTCTTACACTCGCACGCTCACACTCGCGCCCAATTGCCTGTCTTCGGACCGTAGGCTGTCGAGAGTAGCGCTTGGCAGGCACCAATACTACCCACCAACGGCATAGACAGACAGCAACCCACCGACGGCAGCCATCTCACAGGTGGCCATTTACTTTCCCTGACCATGTCGTTGAATCGTGTGGCAAGCATCGAAACTCTATCAGACTACCATGTCCAGCGGGGCGGCGATGCCAACCATCGGCCCAGGAAGCTCAGCTTCAGCCCTCTCCCCCAACCAAAGGATCTTCCCCAGCCTCCCTTGGTCAGTAGTCAAGATCATTTCTACACTCATCCCTCGGCCGCGCCATCAATCTGGCCAGATCCGATCCCTGTGAGTGCCTTTGAGGTCCCGCAATGGATGCGAATTCGTGAGTAGATGTTTCTTGCACTTGAATCGATGTTGTAGTATCCAGCCACAACTCTTCCTCTCGATGAACTAGCTAAAATTTCTCAACCCTCCAAGTCCAAATATCTGCCTCGGTCTCATACTGCCTCTTCTCAGCCGGCGTAGTCTTCGGCTATGCTGCCATCAAACCTGTCCTCAAGGCCGAGGGCGCCTACCAGGACACATGTTCCGACTCTCCTGATAGCGACGTCTGCGTCGAGATCCATCTTAACCTCATGTTCACAGTTGCTGCGGTCGGGACCAATGTAGCTGCGCTTCCAGTCGGCGCTATTCTCGACAATTTCGGCCCTCGCGTCTGCGGTCTCATTGGCAGCTGTTTTCTCTTCCTCGGCGCCCTCGTACTTGCGTACGCCAAGTCGATGCCCTTCGATGCCTTCCTCCTCGGCTATCTTCTCCTTGCCCTTGGTGGTCCATTCACCTTCATCTCGTCGTTCCATCTCTCGAATGCATTTCCACGGCACTCTGGTCTTATCCTTGCCCTCTTGACTGGTGCCTTCGATTCGTCGAGTGCCGTCTTTCTGGTATATCGTCTGCTCTACAACTCCAGCGAGGGTTCCTTCCAGCTCCGGAAGTTCTTCCTCTTATACCTCGTCGTTCCCGTCGTCATTCTGATTCTGCAGCTCTTCCTTATGCCGCGCACCTCGTATAAGACGGTGGGCGAGCTTGTTGACCAGGCAGAGGGGGTGCAGGCAGTGGCTGACACCCAGGGGCCCGATGAGGCCATGGATGATCAGATCGATGAAGAAACAGCTCTGTTGCGTGACGAGCGGCGTGAGATCAGGAGGGAGCGGGAGACGGTCATGGCCGATATCGAGTCGCTCCTAGGTTCGGTCAAGGGAGACGAGCAGATCGAGGCAGAGGAGCGCAAGAACACAACTTCCGGGGTCTGGGGCATTCTGCATGACGCGACCGTCTTCCAGCAGGTGTCGTCCCCGTGGTTCATTCTCATCTGCGTCTTCACCGTCATACAGATGACCCGCATCAACTATTTCGTCGCCACCATCCGTGTCCAGTACGAGGCCATCCTCGGAGACTATGCCAAGGCGGTGCAGATCAATGATTTCTTCGATATTGCCCTCCCGGTTGGCGGTCTCATTGCCATCCCCTTCATCGGTCTCGTCCTCGACCACACAAGCACCGTTGTCGTGCTCTCCGTCCTCGTGTCTGCGGCTACCCTGATAGGAATCCTTGGTATATTGCCATATATGTGGGCTGCTTACGCCAACGTCTCCCTCTTCGTTCTCTACCGGCCATTTTACTACACGGCCGTTTCCGACTACAGCGCCAAGGTGTTTGGCTTCCGAACTTTTGGCACCGTCTACGGTCTGATCATCTGCCTCTCCGGACTGCTGAATCTTTCCCAGTCAGGGTTGGATATTCTGCTCCATGAGACGTTCCGAGGCGACCCTGTGCCCGTGGACCTTATCTTGCTATCCTTGGGATTGGCCGTAGGTATCTCGCTTGTGTCTTATGTTGCGCTACAGCTGAGGAAGATTAATAAGAGTAAGAGGGTGTCACGATAAGAGCTGGAATTTTTGGCTTGCATATAAAACATAAACGGTGCTCTTGGATATTTACTTGGCATGCTCTCTCTTGCGCTGTTGCTTGATTTTATTTCCGCAAGGCCATTTTACAACCAACCCAGAACGAAATATAAATAAAGCCTTCAATGTAGACTTTATTAGTTCTAACTGCTAAACCTGCATATATATACGCTAGTGCTGTAGCTCAGGTAAATAGCAATGGTATAAGAGTAGTCTGAATAACACCTATCAGATGACTTCGATGCTGCAGGTCTCATGCAATTCTTTTCAAAGGCCGACTGCCGTACCCTTATCCGTTAGCACAACTGCGCTACCCTGAACCCAATCTTCCATATTTCAAATGTTTGACAGAGACCAATAGTCCCTGGAATGTTGTGTCCTTTTCAATACGATGATGGTTGCAATTTCAGAGCTGGGGATCAAGCATATTCTCCGATAAAGCTGAGTTTCCAGAAAGTGTTTCTTGGCAGTAAGAGTCAAGGCAAACACACTTGGGCGAAGTATGTTGGGGTTGCCACTGCCGTTTTAATCCCAGCTCTGGCCTTATTCTATCTACTCATTGTGGCGGCTTATTGCAAGCGGCCAGAGGCGACGACAGCAAGCCTTCGCGATCTGTAGAGTAGAAAGCAGGAGCGCATAGAGATATCTGCACCACATAAGATCCTGCCAAAGTCGGGTTTGATGTCGGTTAAGTGTATGGACATTGCACATCTCACATCTCCATCGGTGTGCCCACTGCTGCCTCCCGAGCCCTCCGGATCTCATCATGCTTCTCCTCATTTTCTTCCTTCAACCTATCCTCGACATCATCTCTAATTGCGCCCAAATCGGGAGGAATCGTTTGAAACTGGACACTGGGTGCCGCTTGAACGAATCGCAACTGCTCAGTCACGTGCTGGACGATTTCTTGTAAGCGCTTCTGGGGATTGCGATTCTGTCGCGGCTCGCCCAAGGTTTGCTCTAGAGTAGGGAAGAGCGTATCGTGGCGGAAATGGTCCCTCCACGGTGCATGCTGGGGAAGGGTCGGGTCGATTTTCTTGTTGTACTCTATGGCAATCGACGTTTCGTATGTCCATGCGCGAGCAACGTTTCGTGGGGTATATCCACCACCGCCAAAGAGGATCATGGGGATATTCTTCTCTTTGCAGAACTCGACACAAGCACCGTGGCCCTGGACCTGGAGGTTGAAGCGGCCAAGCCGGTCTCCGGCTAACGAGTCGGCGCCGCACTGTAAGGCGATGGCGCCTGGGCGGAACTTGGCAACAATGTCCCCGATCACGCGATCAAAGAGCCATTTGTATTGCTCATCGGTAATTCCGTCATTAAGTGGTACATTAAAAGCATGGTGCGAGCCGGGGTTATGTTCGTTTTTTGGGCCGTTGTCCTCGAGGGCGCCAGTGCCCGGGAAAAAGTTGTTTGGGTCGTACTTGTGGAAAGAAACCGTCATGACACGATCAGTGGAGAAGAAAGCCTCCTCTACACCATCGCCATGGTGTACGTCGATGTCTATATAGAGTACTCGTGGGTAGAAGCGGAGAAGTTGCAGAATAGCAAGGACAATATCGTTGATATAGCAGAACCCAGAGGCCTCAGCCTTTTTTGCGTGATGCAGTCCTCCTCCCCAGGCGATTGCGATATCTGACTGATTTGAGCAGATCTTCCTCGCTGCATCCATCGCGGTCCCTGCAGACATGGAGCAGTAGTCATAAAGACCTTCGAAGAGAGGACAGTCGGAACCACCGAGATTGAATCTCAAGTCTGGGTTTTGGCTTTCCAGGTCCCGGGGAACAGGCTCGGGTAGGACTGTGCCCAGAAAATCAAGGTAGTCGGTCGAGTGGAAGCCCGCCAGTTCCTCGTATGTGGCAGTGCGAGAGATGTAGTTATCCATGGCAAATGACATGCCATATGAATATATTAGACTCTTGGAAAGCGCAAGTCGCCACGGCTTCATAGGGTGATTTTGCCCAAAGTGATACTTCTCCATTTCCGGGTTGCAATGAAACGACACGTTGTAGCCCTTTGGGCGGGTGACGCCGGACTCTTCCGCATAGCGCTTGCACTTGTGATAGAATTTGATGTCATCAGTTTCGCTGGAGAGGCCTAAGGGAGTATTGTACTCTTCGACGACATTTTCACGGTCGACATCCGGTTTATGAGGTAAGTAGTTTGGTTTTGGAACCTTGTATCTGTATGAGTCTATATCCATTGCAGGTAAAGCCTAGATGGCGCACTCGATGGACAGCCCGGGGTTTAAGTAAATTAGGCGGAGATCACTGTGTTGCTGGGGGGTTATGATGCCGGTAGAGGGTAGTAGCTATGAGTGGTCTGCTCCGGTGTATGCTTTCCTTGATGCTTCACGGGGCTAAGGTAATGATAAGTTTTTATCGATTTTACTTGGATGGATCCTTTGATTTGAAAGCAGGCGGCCCAGAGTCCTGTAAATATCCAGAGCTCGGAGTTCGATTGTGCGTATAAATCCAAGAAGACGAGACGGATACAGAGATAGAGATAGAGATAGCGACTCGGCCGGGTGTGAGAGCCAGTATATGTGTTGGTGCGACGATGGTGAAAGAGCTTAAATGGTGTGGAAAGAAGGCAAGATGCTGGACGAGATGAATGAATTGGATGGCAGGCACACCCGACATAAGAACCGAGAAACTAGTCCTGGGCGGGTCTAGTGCGGGGACATGGTGCTCGTAGCGCATGGGTTCAGCCAAAGTACAGGCTCTTACTTTTCTGGTGCAGAGCTACCAGCCAGGCTACCAATCACTTATCGCCAACCTGCATCTCCAGCGACGGCACCCACCCAGTCAATGATGAATGGCCGTCAGCCCTCTTGGATTCTTCAACCTTCTCGTCGCTCTTCCACCACCAACACCATCAAGCACCCATCCGTCTCATCTGCCTGAGCCACCGACGGTCCTCCTCCGTATCGTCTGGCAGCTTGGCGAGACACGCACTACCGGCCGGAAACGTCTAGCACTTACTCACTACAGAGCGAGCGCCGAAGGGGAAAAACTAGCCCAGTGCCACAGTACCTGTGTGTATGCGCCTGAGAGACTGCAGTCACTGCGCATTCTTCACAGATATATACTGAACCAACCAACCAACCAACCAACAACGTACGTACGTGCGCGCGCATTGGAATCGAGGTGAGCCGCGTCATTTACCAAAGTCGCCCTCTGCCTGCGTTCCTCCGCGTTGTTGCTCTTGACAGCGTCCTGTCTTGCTTGTCTCGTGTGCACGCCTAGATGTGCGTGCTCCGGCATCCCTAACAGGATCTCTTACCCTCCTTTTCTTCACATTACTGTCTTTCTACATCCTCTTTATTTTCATCTCGTTTTTCTTTCATTTATCTCATATTCTCCCTGCTTTTGTGTGACAGATTCAGCATTTCGCATGCTTGTTTTCTTACTGTTGGGTACAAGGGAGCCAACTCTAGCTGCTTTGGCCGCTCCACCGTAGCGTTTGTTTCTTGTGAACACGCTCTGCTCTGCACTGCTCTGCATTTCCCCTCCAACACAAGCGAGCGAACGGGCAGACCGGCAACCTGGCAAGCTACCTGCTCCCGGTTCCGCTTTATTTGCTACGTCGTTTCTGCTGAGGTTTCAGATCTCCCTCTTCAGATTACAAGCATTTGATTCTGCTACGACTTGCCATTGCAGTCAGCGAGTTCAAATCTGTCTACACAAATCGCACAAGTTTTGTTGATACTGTTCGCTGCGCAAGCCGCTTGTCGATTCCACACCATTAACAATCATGCCTAGAGACGACTTGTCAATAGATTTCGTGAAGAGGATGCCTCAAGCCGAACCTCTGGATCCTGGCTTGATTTTGGAGGATTGGATCAACCGCGTTCAGAACCTGCCCGAAGAAATCCGATTTACCCACGACGAGATCCAAGACAAGGACCGCCAATATGCCGAATGCATTCGGTTGATAGAGGATAGGGATGCCAAAATCCAGAAATGGATCAAGACGAACGGCAGCAACGAGCCCAATCCCAAGGAGGAGACCTTGCGATCACAGATCCGACAAAGCTTCGAGCGAGCCGACCAACTATCTAAGGAGAAGATATCCCTTACACAAAAGCTCCAACATCAATTCGACAAGCACCTCCGAAGTCTCGATGTCCAGATCAAATTGCTTTACGACCGTAACGAGCCTGGGTTCGGCAATCCAGATGAAGTCCCTTCGCTTCTCCGACCAAGTGCTGCGAACCATAGCGCGCCCGCTGTCCGACCGACCAACCCAGCAGCAGCCGGTATCAAGGTCAGCCCAGTCCCAGCCAAGCCCGCGAACCGAACGCCATCAACCAACCCAACCCTCGCCCGCTTACCCAGCCACTCGCAAATGCGCAATGCACTGTCGCTACCATCGGTTCCACAGCACCCTTCGTCTGCACCAACTACCCCGGCAGCAAGCATGATTCTCAACAGAAATCAAAGGGAGAGTTCTGCGGGACCTGCGACCAAGCGTGGGGCTCGTGTAACCTCCGGCCTAGGAACCCTCCCCGCTACGTCTAGTGGTCTTGCCAGACACTCGTCCTTGGGACCAGGCACTCCCAAGACTGGCCCTGGCACTGGTCCAGGTGGTGTAGCAAGAGCTGGTAGCGCCGGCCCGAGAGCGAGTTCGGTCAAGGCAAGCTCACAAGCAGGAGCTAGGCGGGGTACTCCTGGTTCAATCAGCCGCAAAAAGCCACCCAACAAATCGTCTCTATCACGCGTTAAGAAAGCCTCCAATAGGAACTCCCCCGCATCGACAGCAGATAGTGACCTGTCTGATGCAATTAGCGCGAGTGGTGATGAGGAAGGTGCCGAGGTCCTCTCAAGAGGGACCCCTTCTGGAGATGGCAAAGATGCGGATGGTGATGACGTTCTTGCAGATGCCGACGACGATGATGACGAAGATGGCAGTGATGACAAGAAATATTGTCTGTGCCATAATGTGAGCTACGGTGACATGGTCGCTTGTGACAATGACGACTGTCCTTACGAATGGTTCCATTGGTCTTGTGTTGGCCTCAAGAGCGAACCCAACGGGACATGGTATTGTCCTGAATGCTCTGAGAAACTAGGGCGAAAGAGCAAATAAGGGTTTTGGGTAAAACAGCGGATTTACAGAGAATGGAGTTAGCCGGGTCGGTTTGTTTCTAGCCATTATTTTCAAATACAGGATACCCCTTTTTCTTTGATCATTTTCACCGACCGAGACCCAACTTGTACCTCATCTACTCGTGTCCTCGAGAGATTGAGGGCCTAAGCACAATTGGTGTGCGCTTTTGCTTAATCTTCCCCTTGCCCTTATTCAGTCCGTTTCTTTTTCTTCATGCTAGCCATGCATGTGCTGAACATGCTTCCATTATTTCGTCATGCCATACTCTCATCATGCCCTAGCCTGCTAGGACCCAAGAGCACAGCGTACTACGCCCCTTCTCACACCCTCCGTCTCTTCTCGTAGCTGCGTAATGGCACCTCCTCTTGCCGTAGCGTTCTCTATGAAATCGTCCAGCGATCCACCCACCCCAAAGTACAGGCGTTTAGCTGCTACAAGAGCAACCGCAGCTGATTCCGGCACACCTCGCTCCCGTTCAAGGATGGAGAAGATGGTCTCTGTAAAGGCCTGGAGGGCGAATGGGGAATATATAGTCTCGGATCCAAGAATCAGGGTAGTCGGTGAGGCAGCAGAGGTAGGAGCAGCCTCATACGTCAAGTCGACAAACTGTGAGGACCAAGCCCCGGAAAGGAATGAAAGGTTGATGTTGGATTCAGAGAGGGTGGTATGGAAAGCCTCGAGGAGCTCCGGAGTGAGCTCTAGTTCGCCGTCGTCGGTGAACGCCCCTTTCACCAAAGGGGTGCTGGACCGTACGGCGAGAGCCCAGGCGAGAATGAAATTGGGCAAGGTAACCAGCTGGAGAACTGTTGGGTTATAGTCTGCCGCGATGAATGAGAAGGGCCTGGGGCCGGATTTCCCCTGGCTCTGGATCGACCACTGGAACAGGGCGAGGGACGGTAATGCCGTTCCACATCCAAGCTATATTTTAGCATGAATGCCATTAGTTAGCTTCTTTCGATTCTCTTTACAAAAAGGGACTGATTCTACGGCGAATTCAGAGTACGAAGTTATGCAGCATACCTCGATTACTCGAACTGGCTTGCCCTCTGGGCCGTAAAGGTCATCAGTCGCAGCCAAGACTTTGACCAAATCGACACTGCTTTCCCAACTTTTAAACCCTCCCTCATAAACACCGGACTTGACGTCATGCTGGCCCAGACCCTCGGGGCCATCGCCGCCCTCGTCCTCCGCCATGAGCTGGACTCTCACGTCCCACAGCTCTCGACGGGGAATCTGCATAACGGTCTTGCCGTCGTCCAGGGCCACATCGAGGCAGCTAAAGGCAATTTTGGAGGGCAGCCGGCTGATCAAAGAGGCGAGAGGCTCAAGAGTTGGAGGCAGCTGGGGTTTGCCGGGGATGGGAAAGGCGCTTGGGGCCGGCGGGGGAGGGGCCTGCGGCTGCTGTGACGGACTGATCTCATCACCAGTGTCAATGTCATCGCCTGAAAAGCCAAAGGAGAAGGCCATGGTCCGAGGCTCTCAGTCTGCGGATAATCCTCAGCGATGAATCAGTAGAGAAGATGCAGAAAGCTCTCGGCGGTGGTGAGTATCAAAGGCTCGGCTTGTGGATGTGGGGCGGATACCCAGAAAAAGTTTCCGTGGTGGTTCAATCGACGGCTCTCTACAACAGCATTAGCAATCAAAGGGCCCCCCTTCAATTGAATCCGAGAAGCCCCCCATTCATAATTGCTGTAGAGTCACTGCGGAATACGGTGTAGCAATACTCTGCCTCTTTTCCCAAATCAGACATCATGCGTTCAACACTGATGCGGCTGGCCACTGCCCAAGCTGGCAACAGCCTACGACCGCAGCCCATGGCTCTGCTCCCGCCCATCTTCTTATACCGCCGTATTCTGAGGGCTCATAGAAAGCATCTACCCGCGGATATGCGCGTGCTGGGCGACGAGTACGTCAAAGCCGAGTTCAGAGCTCACCGGAAAGTCGACAACCCGGCACACTTGGCAAGTCCCGAATTACCCTCCCCTGCGTGCGATTGTCCAAGTCCTGTATCTAACAAGGTATTTCGAACTGGCTTAGATTGGCTTTCTTTCTGAGTGGCAGCTCTATGCCCAGAAGATCGAGGGTGACTCATGGAAGGGCCAGAAGATTGATGAGACAAAGCTTGCCAAGATGAGCGGTATGTTCTATCATCCTGTTTCGTGTCAAGACGCAACAGAGCGGGTGTTCATGCTCTGGCGCATAACATTTCCAGGTTGCCTATCCTCTGGCTGACCACATTCGCTAATATATTATACAGACGAACAAATTCAGCAATTATATGAGCTCTTGCAAGCCATTCAGAAACACAAGGGGGTTCCTGGCGATGAGGAGCCGCAGTCATAAGAAACTGTTCCAAACCGAATTATACCATGTATCTATCATCTATGTATCTATATTTTATGGCCTGTACGTTACATTCTCTATCGTTTTGTAAGTTATATGATCAAGTGTGTCCAACGTGCTCATTAAGAAGGAGAAAACGCCACGCCAAACTCTCCAGTAGAGAACTTCTACCTATTTTCCAATGCTTCAGCAATCCATGCTGCCTGAATAGCGCTCACTTTCTTGGCATAATTCTTATTCGTATAGACATGTTCGAGGAACATGATGGCCTCTTTCTTCTGCCCGTGGAGAACACTGGCTGGGTGTATAGCCACGACATGCTTTCCTTGAACTGTTACGTAGCTCGCATCAGGGGCAAGCATTGCCGTTTTGAGTGCGAATCCCTTCAGGAAACATTTGATGACCATCTCTGCCTGTTCCGGCGCCAGAGGAACAAAGGGCTGCGGATCTTGGGGAGGGGCTTCAGATAACAGCCCCTCTTTCAAGCAGATGCCACGCAGTTGTCGACGAATATTCAATGCCTGCTTCATGTTGCGGATGTTGATCTTTCTCTTTTTGCACCATTCTATCCTGTTGGCATTTTCGGCCGTGTATTGCTGGATCGTGGTGAGATAGGTGATGATATCTCCCTCCCGACGCTGCACTTCACCCCTTGCCTGTTCAATCTCCTCTTGTGCTTCTTCAGACTGCACCTGCAGGAAGATGTCTTCTCCGGAAGTAATGCATGATATGATGTCGATCGTTTCGAGTACGCAGTCGAACTCGGGTCTAGCGGCTGCCAACAAGACCGTTCCCAGTGGCGCAGAGAGAGGCAGCCTAGCCATCGTCTGACCTTTCGACGTGATAGAGCCATCATCAGCCAACGCGCTAAGAAAATGTAAGTGCACCAAGGCCCTTTCGATCGCCTCAGTTTCGGGGGCATCCATCAACGGGAAGGCAAGAACGTCTTGTATTCCCCTTGCTTTCATTGTAAGAACGGCCCCTAGCACATCGCTTCGTAGAATTTCAGGGAGGTCGGACCCTTGAAGATTCGTAAATGCGTCCTCGGTGTAGAGTCTAAAGCATTTTCCTGGGCCTTCACGTCCAGCACGACCAGTTCTCTGGACAGCAGATGACTTGGAGATGGGTTTTGCGAGAAGAGACTCCATCCCGAGCCGTGCACGGAACTGCTTGACCTTGGCTTTACCACAATCAACGACATATCTCACTCCAGGCACCGTAACTGAAGTCTCTGCAATATTTGTTGCCAAGATAACTTTCCTTGTGAACGGGGTCTTAACAGGCAAGAATGCCTCACGCTGTGAATCCATCGACAGCTGTCCATAGAGAGGGAATACTCTTAGTTTAGGCATATTTGAAGCCAGGGTCGTCGCATACTCCTCGATGATCTTTTGTGCAGCTTCGATTTCTTCTTGGCCGGTGAGGAACGCAAGGATATCGCCGGGAAGTGGTTCCTGTGTGTGGACTTTGAAGATGGTTTTGAGAAGCGCATCTTGAAGATCGGCCACCGGCTTTTTTTCGTGTTTGAGCTCGACAGGAAACTGACGGCCTTTGATTCTCAGAACTTGAATTGCACTTTCACGTTTGTCCTCCGGGTAGATATCCCCAAAAAATCCCCGGATGGCATCCACATCAGCAGTTGCGCTCATGACAACCACCTTGAGCGGGACTCCTGCCCGGCCGGCTTTGTTTCCAGCCAGGATTTGCTTGAGGAAGCCAACGAGTAGATCAGCATCAAGGCTTCGCTCGTGGATTTCATCCACGACGATTGCACTGTACTGCCGGAGGCTTGGGTCTCGCAGAAGCTCTTGGAGCAGCATACCTTCAGTCAAGTACTTGATCCTTGTTCCAATTGGCACGTTGTGATCAAAGCGAACTGAGTATCCAACTTTGCCATCTTTCCGACCCTTGCCAAGCGGAGTACCGGCCTCCTGCGAAACTCGGTGGGCCAGTGTGGTTGCGGCGACTCGTCTAGGTTGCGTGATTGCGATGGTCCCCCCAATCTGCACCTCATCCTTGGAGCCGGGCAGCTGGACTTTTCGACGTTGACACCACGGTTCAGTGTACAAAAACTGTGGCACTTGAGTACTCTTTCCTGAACCTGTTTCACCGACTAGAACCAGAACGTCATTGTCCGGGCCGCTCAGAGCATTCTGAATATCCGAACGGTGTTGCCAGATGGGAAGTTCCCGGCGAGTTTTCAGCAACTTTTCGTCTTCGCGGCCTTTGAACTGGGGCCCCTTCTGCCCGTTCTCCCGCCTCTTGGTGTGCCTCTCCTTGAATTCTGATTTTATGGGTTTCTCTGGCCCATGAGCGTTCTCTGGGCCGTTGACAGTCTCAGCTGGAGCCGTGGTGGGCACAGCAGGCGACGGTGCAGGTTTTTTGGGGGCATTTAGATAGCCTTCCAGAGAGATGGCCTTGCCACCAATTTTGAGCGAAGCAGACTCTTTTTTGTCTGTTTTTCTTCGCTTTGAGCGATGCTCTCCATCCTTTTCGAGTGACATTTTGGATTGGTTGTGGCGTCGCAGTGCTTGACCCAAAACTTCTTCTCTGCCTGTTGAGGATGTTGGTTGCCAGGATGGAAAATCGCAGCGATTGGCTGTGGCTATAATATGGGGCACGGTGTGTCTTACGTATAAGCGCACGGTCTAGGCAACCAGTAGCAAATCTTTAGATCCTGAACTTAACCTACGGCATTGGAATCATTCATAGATTTCACTAAAGAGGGTTTTTTATAAGTTATTAATTCTAAAGTCTTGTTTTGACGCTTATACGGAAAGTGCTTGTGTAGGAGAGCAAATGAGAAGCAAAAAACTACAACAGAGAATGGCATCTTAGTGAACCAAGTCTCGCAACTCTGAGCCTTTCTCAACCCCTGTTTATTTCGTTGGAACGTCTCTAGTTGATGCGGGCTAAGCGTTCTCTGTTCATGCGGGTAGCATCGTCGACAGCATCGCTCTGTGATTTTGTGGTTAGTGATATGCTCAATCAACGTGCCAAGTGAAATGAGGAATGAGGGGCCTTCAACACAAACCTTCTGGGTGATTCGGTCGATCATCTTGTTCTGTGCGTCCACCTCCTTGCCAATTGCTTTACCGACCATGTTCATCATCTTGACCTGACTCTCTAGCTCTCCAAGCCCATCATCAATTTGGTCCTCGAGATCATCATCCTCATCGTCCAAGTTATACTTTCCGTAGCCCTTCTTGGTAGTCTGTTTCTGTCGCGCACCAGCAGTGTTGAAAGCCCTGAAGCTGTCTTCCATGCGCTGGTTGGCTGCGAAACCCTCCCGGCGAGTGTTCTCTCGTGCTTCTCGCTCATCATGGTGGCGCTTCATGACTGCTTCGTCGGCCCTTGCTTGGCGCTCCTTGGAGGTGAACGGATTGCCAACGTGTACCGCAAACATGCTCCTGTTGAGCGTCTTGAGTTCGGCAGCCTTGTCCTGAGCAATCTTATTCTGGTTGGCGGCGAGATCCAAATTCTTCTCAGTGTTGTGGAGGCGCTCGCCCTGCGCGCCAAGTCGAGCCAGCGTCGCCCGTCCCACCTCGTTTGCCTGTCTCGCCATCAGGACGGAACGGTTGACGGAGTTGGCACTCTCCTGCTGCACCGCTCGCTTCTCGGCCAGAATGGCCTGGACCTCTTGCTCCTCTTGCTCCTCGGCGGTCAACTCTCGCTGCTCGCCATAGCCACCGTAGTCACCCCCGGCAGCACTGCCTCCCGCATCGGGATATGCAGGAGGAGGGCGCTGCTGCTTCTGTTCGTATCTCTCCTGAGCTCCGGCAAACAGTGCGTCTCGGTTGCTGTCTGGCTCGTTACCCCCAAGGCCACCGTAACCACTGACACGGCTGCCTGCGCTGTACGGGTTCTGAGCAGCTGGAGACTCGTATCTGTTCGAGCCGTAGCCGCCTCCAGAGCCGTACTGGTTGTTGCCGTAACCACCGCCGTTCGGGCCAGGTGCACCTCCAGGGTTGTTCAGGCCTGCTCGAGCCTGCTGGTAGGCAGTCGTAGGCTTCGAGCTAGTATAGGGATCGTTGGCTGGCGCTTGTCGGGCATAGGGGTTGTCGGACTGAGGGGCAGGGGGGGAATTGGGAGCGGGAGAGGACTTCTTACGCCCGAACAGAGCGTTGCGGTTGGCGTCGTCGCCATCATCGGCACTCTTCTTCCCGAATCCGAATTTCTTCATTTTGATCGAGGGCTTCCGTGATAAGAATGGCAAAACAGCACAATGGTATGTAGTGGATGTGGGAGAGCGTAGGCGGGCGGTGTGGTATCTGGTTGGGGTGATATATGGCGATCAGATCAGCTTGTCCCGACGAGTGGGCTGTGGTGTGCACGCTTCGAATGCACTAAGAATATACTTGGGCGGTTGACATTCAAGACGGCGGGTATGCATGGACCTAAATCCAGCCTGAAAGCAACCCAGGGGCTTACACCTGCGGGTGCAATTGGGTTTCAAGGCTCCTCACACTGCGCTACCCAGACCCTTCGCGTTAGGTGGCCATCGTCATGAACCAACGGGAGCCTGAGCGCCACCCCTCCCCCACCATCAGAGGTGCTGGGCCTGCTCAGGCTGCCGTGAGCAGCAGATTTTAGGGGCTCAGCTCCGGGCCCACCGCTGAGACTCCCCCGCCTTCAGGCCTGAGTCCAGACACACGCCCCCTGGTCGCCCCTTGAGATAGTGGACGCCTTGACGCCGTAAGAAACCCCTAGAGACGACAGTCTCTGGGGCTGAGGAGGCTGAAAGTTTACGAGTTCGCCACGGCCTCAGCCACCAGGGCTATCAGAAGATGAACAACGATGGAAGAGTGCTCTCAGTTGGTATGGGTTCACAGAAGACTGGCTTCTACTAGGTGGATTAATGCAAGCCACTGTGAGAAAAGGATGCAGTGCTGTTGTAGCAATTGTCCTCTAACATGCCTGCCACCTTACTCTTCGGACACGAGGATCAGAAAAGATACTTGGAGGTACCGTAGTCAGCTGGAGCCATCTGCCGCCTGCCTACCTACATGTACATACATATGGATGGTTTTAATGCGAAAACTTTGATGCGATGCGACTGGTCCAACGCCCACCACGAATTCGCGCTCGTCCCCAAACAACTTTCATACAACCAGATGCATGTCTGATCTGATCTCTAGGCCTCACCCAATTCCCCATCGCCAATTGGCATTCCCAGGCATTGAAGTCATTAGCACGCGGGTTACCCACTATTCATGCACCTTACGTGCATTAGCATCTCCCAGACACTCACTGCCAACCAGTGTGACCCATTTGATCGCGCCTCGTTGAGTCATCCCGCCGCAGTTGGAACCATCTCATGGCTCCCCTTTATCTTTAGGACGAGCCCGCCATTGCGCTCCTTCTGCTTCTCGAACTTCATCTCTCCTCTCCCAATAAGTCAATCCCAGAAGAACAGCAGCTTCTGACCACTTTTTTGATCTCTTCAAGCAATCAAAATGATACCGTCTATACAGCGGTCGCGGAATATCACACCTCATCCTCTCCAAGTGTTAATACGCAACCAACCACTAGCCCAGCTATTGTCATATAACATCTAGAGCACATCTATCTGGCATAACCTATTCATTTCCCTTGATACCCTTGATACCCCTTTGGCGACCGCTCCGCCCAACCCGGACAATGGCGTCGATATTCACCTATGACCCCGATCCCCCGCGAATCTCCTCTCCTTGGCTCTCCCCCGAGGATCCAGGAACTCCCCAGGAACTGTCACGGCAGTCCAATTCGGGCCTGGCATCCGCAGAACCAGGTTTTCTGTCTGACTACGGCGTGACCAAGTTGGAGGCTGAACCTCAGGATGGGCCTACTGAGTACAAGCTACATCTCCTTTTGCGGCCGAGAAGGGCATACAAGTCGATGACAACTATACCCGCCCAGTCCCAAATCAAAGCCTCTCTCGCGTCCCAAGATAACGGTGCCAGCCTTTCCGCTCACCCTACACGCACCTCTACACCAGCCCCAGCCCAGCAACCACGTCAGCAGAGGCTGCTGCATCTGACCACGCAGCTCTTATGGAGACTGCAGCAGTCATCCCCCTACCATGCCTCCAGTTCCAAAGAAATACCCATGCCCAAACTCCCCGATGACAATGTGCCACTTGAGCCCCTGAAAGAGCCAGATAGCCTTGTTCCTGGCTTGGATGAATCAAGAGGAGCCTTGTATGAGATTGGTGTGTCTGATGACGGTACCCTGGTCGGACTCACCAAAGATGAGATGGACGAGAGTATCAAGACCCTTAAAGTGATGGCTTCTAGTCTTGGATGCACGGTTGAGGTGTTGCGTATGGTCATCGTCGGTAACTGCGAGTGGATAGAGCAGGCCGATGACGCCGTTGCCGAACTTACTAGGCACGGTAAGCTCTGGGTAGCTGAGGCACTTGTGACTCCCAACCTTCGCATCTTTCGCCAGCTCAGTCAGAATGGGGAGGGTTCCAAGACCTCCCGGGCCCCCTCAGCATCCCAGGACGCCTCTGTTGGTGATGCGGCCCCTAGTCAGGGAATCTCACTGACTCCCCAACTGAGAGTCACCTTCACGGGGCCAACCACTTCTGGCAAATCCAGTCTCCTTGGGACCCTGTCTACGGGAACACTCGATAATGGTCGAGGAAAGAGTCGGCTCAGTCTTCTAAGACATCGCCATGAAATGGTGTCTGGGGTGACCAGTTCTATTGCCCAGGAGCTAATCGGGTATAAGGATCAAGAAATCCTCAATTTCTCTCAGGGCAATATTGAGTCATGGATGGATATTCATGATTGCGCTGATGGTGGTCGACTTGTCTTTGTATCCGATTCAGGAGGGCATCCCAGGTACCGTCGAACGGTCCTGAGAGGCCTCATGAACTGGGCACCGCACTGGAGCATTCTCTGCATCGCCTCAGATGACGGTGATCCGGCATCCATGCGAACCGGGGGAACTTCAACTGCGCAGGACGTCCTTGGGACGGCCGCGGCAGGCGTAGATCTCGTCAATGCACACTTGACACTGTCTCTCAAGTTGGAAGTGCCAATGGCAATTGTCGTCACCAAATTGGACCTCGCCTCCAAAACAAGTCTGCAGAAGACCATGTCCAAGATATTGACAGCCATCAAAGCCGCTGGTCGAGTTCCCAAAATTCTTCAGCCTGACCAGAGCCGGCATGAGGATCTGCAGAGGATCCCCCAGCAAGACCACGACAAAGTGCAGAGTATCATCAAGGCCATTGCTGAAAGTGGAAGCTTGACGCAATATGTCCCCATCGTCCTTACAAGCGTAGTGAAGGGAACTGGTGTTGGCTTGGTGCATGCCCTCCTTGAAAGTCTGCCCTTGCCGCCTCCGCCTACATCTCGTGATTTTGTTGGGATGGCGCTCAACCCAGAGCAGCCCAACAGTCTATTCCACATCGATGACACATTCTCCCTTCCATCTTCGTTTGGAACCCTGGCTGGAGGTGGTTCCGAGGCGGAGGCTCGAGGCGTCGTCATATCCGGGCATCTTCGCTTCGGGGATCTGTCCGTGGGTGATGAGGTTGTCGTGGGTCCATTCCCACCAGAGGAGCAAGATTCCGGGGATTTCAGAACGGATGATAAGGCATCTCCTGGAAACTACGGTCTGTCAATCTCACACCCGGCTTCTTCTCAGCTTGCCAAGATAAGCCTGGAGAATGCTGTCTCCGCATCGACGATAGCTGGCGAGTGGCACAAGGCGCGCATTGTGAGTGTCAGGAATCTGCGATTACCGGTACGGACACTCAAGGCCGGCCAAGCTGGTTCAATTGGTCTGGTGTTGGAACCAGAGGAGGCCAGCACAAGCGCCTCGATCCCGAGGATTCGAAGAGGGATGGTCTTGGCTATCCCTTCAAAGCACATGGTGGACACGGGGCTCTCACTTCAAGCTGCCAGCGGATTCACGGCCACTTTCACCGACCCGGACATGGAATCGTTGGTCGTGGGCTCTTTGGTTAATGTGTACGTGGCAAGTGTTAGAGCCACAGCTCGGGTCAGAGGCATTTCACGCCACTCCAATCGGCCAGAGTTTGGACAGACGGCGACTGAAGATATTGACGTGTTCAACCTCAGTGAGGATTTTGAGGAATTGGAAAGTTCCAACGGGGACGGAACAGGCCGCGTTTCACGGACCGAGGTCTTTCTGGAGCTGTTGCACAACCGAGAGTGGGTGGAGCTGGGCTCACGGGTCATCATCTTAGAGGGGGGAAGTCAGGATAGATCGGGCCTTGAGGGTTATGTGGGCAAGATTATAGAGATTGTCGACTGAAGTTATAGCAGATTGCAGCATATTGATATTTCTTAATATTCATTGATATGAGTGATCCTAGCTCTTGTTTTTTTGTGTCTCTCTCCTTTGATTTCTGATATTAGTTTAGAACATTCACATGGTCTTTTGCGAATCTGTATGTAGGAATATACACATATCCCAAGTTCTCCGATTTCGTCCAAGCTGGGCTCCCAATATCACCAGGCAACCATGAGCAAGATTCCACTTGTATATGCTGTACCTCCTTGACGCCATGACAATCCCATGATTCATACAACCAACAGTCCTGCCCGTTCGCTAAACCCGTACCAGGCCGTAGAAGAGCGTCCAAGTCAGCACAAAGCCGGACAGGCCGCTGAACAAGCCGCCCGTCCAGAAATCCAGCGCCCCCTTGAAGAATCGTGTCGTATCGAAGAGGGGTTTCTTTTCGCTAAGCGAGGCAGGCGCTACCTGGAAGACGTAGAAAAGGAGGGTGGTGATGACGGAGAGGACGAGGTAGAGGAGGAAGCCGGCATAGGATTCGAGGCCGAGGATGCCAGCGGTTACACCGAACAGGGAGGCCGTGAGGCTGTGAAAGTTGGAGAGCGTCTATATCAAAACGATTAGCATAGGTGGTCGGAGAATTGGACAGCGTCGGGTGGGTGAGCTCTGCGCACCTTCGCATTGTGGACGACCGACTCCTGTACGATGGGGTGGATCTGGAGCTCTTGCTCAGACGACGACATGGTTGATTGCTTCTCGGAGCTGTAGGGAGAAAAGAAGAAATAAAGGCGTCGATCTGTAATTAAGAAGAGTGCCGGGGATTGCTCAGCTTCAGCGCAGGGGAACGTTGATTCGCAGTCCACGATCGCGAAATGGGCGAGCAGGTAATCGTCAGTACTATGTAATCGTGTCACCACTGACAGTGTAGGGTATACAGAAACCCGCTGACTAAGAACACCAATCGCGGCTAAGTGGCATGGATCTACGATTTACTGGGCCGCGGCCGATGTTAAGATACCTTAGTTGGCAGTGGCTCTCAGAAAACAGGCGCGGCGAAGCTATTACTTAGATATTTAGACTTTTAATACGAGCGCAATATTAGGAGACGGCATCTTAAGATACCTATCAATCCTTAGTATTGTCTAATTTACGACAATAAAAAAATTGCGTTGAGTAAGGAACACAGGCAGTTCGGCAGTAGCTGACACCCACTTCTTGCCTTGATAAGTGCTAGTAGTGGGGTAGAAAATGGATGCAACTGGATCGGAATTCACTTCTCTTCCAAAGCACCCATCAAAGACACCCACCAATCCAGCACACAGATTCAGCCATGGAGCTTACATTTGAGCCATTGAAGAACGACCTGTTACTTCGGGCAGCATGGGGTGGGTGCGCCGTCGTCCCCTTGAGCCATACGAAGCCAAGGCCTCATAAGTGATCATGTCTTGCTAAAACACCCCGCCGTTGGATAGGCCAGGTCGTGGAACGCCCTCCCATGTGGGTAATGCGACAAGGTATGTGCTATCTTCTATTGTTAGCCTCAGCCTGTGTCTATCTTGAGGATTTCTAGCTAACAAGGACGCCAATTGTGAAGCTGGTCGGTACCTGCCAGAGTACCATGAGGCCAAAGGCTCCCGTGACTTCTTCGAATGCTGTCGCGATCCCGAAGTAGCATCTACCCTCACTCTCCAGCCAATCGAGCGCTATGCTGGTCTAGTCGATGCTGCCATTATATTCTCCGACATCCTCGTCATCCCCCAGGCCATGGGCATGGTCGTCGAAATGGTGGACAAGAAGGGCCCGCACTTCCCGAACCCTCTCCAAGGCCCCGATGACGGTCAATACCAGCAACTTATGGATCGCAATGTGAATGTAGAGGAAGAGCTAGGCTATGTCTACAAGGCAATCACCGTCACGAGAAAGAAACTCGCTGGCCGCGTTCCCCTCATTGGATTCTGCGGTGCCCCGTGGACTCTGTTTTGCTACATGGTTGAGGGAGGAGGCACGAAGCTATTTGCGCAGAGCAAGAAGTGGATTTACCGGCACCCAGAGGAGACAAAGGCTCTGCTCCTCAAAATTGCCGATGTTTGCGTTGAGCACTTGGCCCTACAGGTCCGAGCCGGAGCACAGGTATTGTTTCTTTCCCTTTAAGTACAAGACCTCCCAATTCAGGAGACTGACAGCGAGGTATTCTTCTTAGCTTGTTATGGTGTTTGACTCATGGGCCGGTGAGCTAGGACCACCTGCGTTTAAGGAGTTCTCTGAGCCGTACCTGGCACACATCTCACAGAAGCTTCCTGAGAAGCTGAAAAGCCTCGGGCTTGAACGTGTCCCCATGACCGTGTTCCCCAAGGGCGCCTGGCACGCCTTGGACTCGGCATGCAATCTTGGATACAACGTCGTTAGCATGGATTGGCTACAGGACCCCGCCGAGGCTGTAAAGATCCGCGGTGACCGCAATGTGGTTTTCCAGGGCAATGCCGACCCAGGCGTCTTGTACGGATCCAAGGAAGCCATTACCAAGGCCGTAGAGCATATGGTCAAGGGCTTCTGGGTTGGCAAAAAGGGTTGGATCGCGAATCTGGGACACGGTAAGTTTCGCATGCCGTTCACTCGAACCGGTTTTACTGTTCAAAGCTAACTGGCGGCGACACAGGTATCACCCCTGGTGTGAATCCGGACAACCTCAAACACTTCTTTGAAGAGATCCACCGCCTCACAAAGCAGTAAATAGTAAACATGGCATAATGAAAAGTTCAAAAAAGGAATTACACCTGTCACAGATGTACTCTATGTATTGAATATTGATTTGAAATGTAATGTTCGTGCTGTTCAAAAGCATCCACACCCATTCCTACTCATAGTTAAAATACTATCATGATGGACCTATAGTACCTGCGCCCGCCCAACTTAGCCAATTGAACTCCGAATTCCCACCATATACTCCAGTGCATGCTGTCAAATGACTGGACCTGATTAAACCTACGAAAAATGAAAAGCACAACCAACCATAGCCCATTACCGTAATGGGCCCTTCCCGGGAAAATAACAACGAGGGATAAAAAACTCTTTTAACAAGAATCCATCAAATAAAAGCGCACAATAATCAATCAATATGACTCCTTCAACCACCCAGATAATTCACCCAGAAAGGAATACCCCACACACGGGCTAGGCCTTCTTGCCACCAAGGAGCCAGTGCTTGGCTTTGCTCTTCTCCTTGGCCGCCGCCTCCTTGTCCTTGTCGCCGCCCTTGAGATCCGTATTGGCGGACCCGGTGTCGTCCTCGGCAATGGCGCTGTCGTTGTTCGCCTTGCGCGCCAACCGCTCGGCCTCGGCCTTGTCCTTGAACACGTTCCCGGCGCCGCCACGGCCTGCGTGCTGTGCGCCCGAGCTTGGTCGCCGAGGGACACTGGCAAGTCGGGCAGATGTTAGCAAAAAGAAGATTTCGGAGGATTCCCCCCCGCCGTCGGAGGGGTAGGTTGGAGGTTGGAGGGTGGCAAGGAGAAGAAAAGACGTACGCATCGACATCCTGGCGCTTGCGAGTTTCGACGGGGTCCTTGTTGGGCGCCATGTTGCCCGTGCCACCGCGGCCGGTAGAGATGACGGGCTTCTTGAGAGTAGGTGTTTCCAGATCGGACGGCTGTAGGCGTGGAGACTGGGTAGTGTCGGCCATGTTACCGGCACCACCACGGCCGTGGGAGGAGAAGTTCGACATGTTGATTGTTCGGTGAGGAGCTGGACTGAAGAACGAACAGCTTGCGGTGGCGGTTTCAATATGTAGGGAGAATGTTGAGAGTTGAGGAGGCGGGGGGGGGGGCTCAAAACCACAGGGTAAGTCTTTGGGGCGCGTGATGGGAAGGGCTCTGCGCAACGGATGAGGAGATGAAATTTCGCTCCATATGGGGCAAGAAAAGGGTCTAGTAACTACAGCCTAAGAACGAAAAAGGCCACCGGTGTTCCCAGTAGCGGCGTTCTGGGAAACAAAGTAGACGCACTAGACTCGTCGGGAACATTTCTTTACAACCTGCCATTACTTAAGGTATTTGGCGACGCAATAGAGTGGGCCAATGATGAGCCGGGGAAGACTTAAGTTTGGAGTATGAAAGACTATTGGCCCCAGCCCCTGGTCGCAACCCTTGGCATCTTCCCATACCACTTTAAGCAACTTTAACCTCTCGTAGATGATCTCGCCTACTCAGCTCCAAGATGGAGGTGACAAAGTGGACCAGGCTGTGGGTGAGAAATAGAGCATTAGAGTCCATCAAGGGGCTGCCAAGAGCAGTAATAAGGAGATGATGTCATGGATTCCCGCCAGAGAGCAAATAAATAGGAGAGAACACTGACAAAGATAGAAACTATGTATAAGAGGTTGTGGTGCGAAAAATCGTTGAAATTGTGAAAACGACAAAGCTGGTATTAGTATGCGCGCTGTTCCAGGAACCATCTTTCAATTCATGGTCAAGCAAGCAAACCCTTGTCTCTCTCTCCGCCATATACTTATCTTGAGATGAAGAACCATTCACTACAGAGAGTGGACCGCAAATATGGGAAAACAAGAATCATTCAGCCTAAACTTAAGCTCAACAGCCTTCTTACGTCTTGGCACTAGGCAGGCTGTGCTACTATGAACGAGCCATCATCGCATCAGCACTGGGATGCTGGTCTGTTTCCAATTGCAGCATGTGCTCAGCATATGTACTATTACAGCCCCCTCAAATCTTGTAATGGTATGGGAGATGGCGCTTTTAGGACAGACATAATATATTTCGGAATTTTTAAATCACCACCATCCTCCGCACACCCGCCCTCCTATCTCACCAGGGTCTTACTCCCTGGGGTGACACGCGCTGCTAGCACAAGCCCGTCCCTTCTTAGAGATAGGATTACGATTAATTGACGAGTTTAAAGAAAAGATCCTCCCAGACACACTGTAATCATGGTTTCATGAGACTGAGAAAGAATCGAGACCAACGAGGCCGTCGACGGATCGGGATTTCCTCAACATCTTAGCCAGTCTCAGAAGAGGGCATGACCCCTCCTCATTGCGGTGGTTTTGGCCGTCACCTGAGTAAAGCAACAGCCTACCTAGGCGAAGAGTTCCATTATCGGGGTCATAAGGTCGTGTGCTGGAGATTCGGCTTGGCGCAAGACACTTTGGCCAAAGCAGTATCGGCGAGATGAAGACAATTAGTCACCGTCGTCGTCGTCACCACCCTTGTTTCCATCTTTACGAATCGGGATTTTGATTCCCTGGGTGGCGAAGGTTTTACTCAGCGATGTGCTCTCACATACGCCAGGGAATTTCTTGGCCGAATACACGGTAAACGCCGCACTGAAACAAGATGCTAAAATAGGAGCCTTGCCCTTGATCACTGTCGATTGTTGTCCAGCTGTGGAGCTAGGTTTTCCGACGTTGATGAAGGAGAATTTGAGTCTACAAGTAGGTTGAAAGTGTAAGCGATCTAATGTCTTATGTTTCTCCAGGTTGTTGGAGAATTTTGCATGTCAGTCCGACACTTACCGATATGTTCCTTCTAGCCGTACGCTAAGATCTTGAAGAACAAACCAGATGCCTTCCCGATCATGTGTATCAGTGAGGCAAAAGGCGCTGGCGGCTACACTACCGATCAAGTTCCGATTAAGAGCCCCCTTGCATTGATCATTAATGTAAGACACAGAAGCGCCATTGCTATCCACGTATTCGGCATGAGGTGTCATGGGCGGAGCACTGGAGTCGCCCGGATAGTTATGCCGGGGGAAAAACTCTTGAGCAGGTAGATATCTGCCATTGGCTGGGTAAGACGGGTTCGGGTCGTCAGTGATTGGGGGAAATTGGGTAACTGAGTCGTTGGTTAGGCGTGTCGAACACGAGGCGCGACTTTTGAAATGGGGGATTCGGTGAACTAACCTTGGTTGTAGATAGGTTGCGATTGATGATATTCCTGAGCATAGCCAACTGGCGCATAGCCAACTTCGCGACCGTTTGTCACAACTTGAGGAGCATAGGACACTGTAGCAGAATCTATCCCGTTAAGAGTCATGTGTATGTAAGAGCGGTGTCATAGAGATGGGGGACGTACCCGTCGATGAAGGTTGCCGGCACAGGTTCACCTCCTGGGATGCAAGATCGTTCCAAAGGTCGACATTAAGCACATACATGGAATAATCAATGTCTCTGTCAAAACGAACGTGTTAGGTCTGGTCTGTTGTGTGTCGGACCTTGATTGTAGATTTGATTGATAGGGACCTACTTGCAACTGATTTCCTTTCCCTGCTCATTAGTTATAATGAGCCTGACACATGGGGGCGGTGTGATAGGTCGTCGATCCTAAGTGATTCCATTAGTCTTTTTCTTTTCCGCGTGAGTTTGTCGCCGCGTACACGACAAACGTTGAAAAGGGCGAAGCGGCAGGGAGAGCAGGATGAGGAAAGGGCCATGCTACCTTATCACCATAGCCACACATGCGGGCACGCTGGGGCTGTTGCACGACATCAAGGCTGAGGGAGTTCTAGTTCAGCTTCAGACCTCAGAAAAAAAGAGGTGAATAAAACCTACTGGAAATGGCGGCCAGTGCCCTCTTCTAGGCGAGAAACAGGAGCAAGATTACTCTCTTGGCTTTGCCGCTGGTCTTCAACGGATGGTTCATCTTGCCGAGGAGGCGTATTGGAAGGTAGTTGGGACGAATGCTGCTGAGAATGGGTTTGATGGTGTGACGGTTGTGTAGGCCGTGTAGAAAGATGGCTAACAGAATGTGGCATGGAGGGAGGGGGCGGTTGCCTTGATGGTGGTGCAATATGCTGGCCTTGATAAGGTTGATATGGATGGTGGCGCATTGATGCCATGGAAGATGGTGGTGGAGGCGGTGTGGGATGAGAAGGATAACCCATATGCTGAGAAATATCGGACGACGGGTATCCGGAGCTCATTATAGGGATATATCAATCCTCGAATGGTCGGATAGCAAGCGAGTGAGTAGCAGGTCGGCTTTGAGTCGAGCCAGCGTGGGAGCCAGGCGAGGCAGAACAAGGCGTCCCTGGCTTACGCGGGGAAGGGAGAGAACCTTGGTATGATTCGGGATGGATTATAGAGCCATAATACAAGACATGTAGCAGACGGTGACGGAGTTGAAACGGGTCGATGGCTGTCAGCCTCGGAGCTCATAGGAGGTGTATAGCGTCGCGGGTAGTCGTGGAGGATGCTGGTGCGGGCGAGCTGGTCAGCAGGCTGTGGAAGGTTTGTGGTCGCAAGCAAAGTCAGCCCGGCACAAAGGCGAGGGATGGAAAGACGGTGGTGTGCCTATGCAGAATGCCAATAAGCAAATATCGAGGGAATGGCAAGTCGGGGGGTTGCAACAGTTGCAATTGCAGTCCGGATGGGAATGAGGGAGAGCGCGGTTGGACACTGGGTCCAGCCAGTAGCCCTGTAGGGTACCTGACTTGGTACCTGCCCGAACCTAAGGTTACCTTCAATGGTGGGTATGACCCCCCATAACGATTTGATTACCGCAGATATTCGGTGCTGGGGACCTATGTATGTACCTACGTGTGACATACATCATGGGAGTCGCCGCGCCGCTCTCGGGCTCTCGAAGGCGCAAGTTGTGGACTTGGGACTCTTTGCCGGCAGTATTGAATGCACTCGCACATCACCCATCTTTTATTCTGTTGCTTGCTATGCGAAATGCTTGCGCCCTTGGTCGGGATTCAATCAATGTCGGTGGACTGGTCGGCCGAGTTCCTGCCCCGCACCTGGCAGGCAGCTCTGTTACTGCCGTGTCCCCATGGCGCTGGTATCGTTGGCCATTGGCGAGTGGTTGCTGACAGGATATACATAGGTAGCTACATCTGACTACGCGATGCAGACTGGCGGAATCCAATACTGGCCATGTCACAAGCAGCCGGACACTTCTACTTAGATACCTAGGTACCTACATACCTACCTGTTTACATGCACTTCGGGCACCCAGGCGTCAATGTACCTTCAGACGCTGGCGGAATCGGGCAGGCGAGCGGCAAGTGGAGAGGGCGCTAAGGGAGCGGCCAGGGACTTCCGATCCCCTGGGGATCGCTGATTGACAATGAAGTGAACAGGGAATTCACGCAACTCGAACAACATGCGGTCTGGCGTTTGGGGCGATAGTGGCTGGGTGAGGAAAACAAGACTTCATGAGATTGACATTTGTCTCCTACTGAAGGCTTGAGCGCCTACCCCAGCCCCGTTGTAGGTACCTAGAGACCGCTACCTTACATCGGTGGACGGTCCACACTCATCCATCTTGGCTCGTGAGGACTCGCATCCATCCCCCTCCATGACTAGGCACCGGTCAGACGGCGAATACAGCAGATAAATTGAACTCTGTACAGAATGTCGTGGGTACGGACGTTCTCTAAGCTGCGTAGTTATTCCGTGGTCACTTGGCCTTGGGTTTCATCATTCGAAGTAGCATTGATGGCGGCCTGGTGGCTGTTAATGGCACTTCTTTAACGCCATGACTCGACTCGAGCTGGAACACTCCTACTCTACCATGTATCTAATTTGCTTTTTGCGCCCTGGTACCGATTCCTCGCTTGGTGCATAGCAGCGTTGTATTACTCCCAGGAATTATATCTGGGTTATGTATGAGCCCATACTTGGCTGTGCAATGCTGTTGTTCATTGGCTATTTGTTGCTATGTATTCTTCTGGGACTGGCAAGATTTGATTAATACGAGGTTGATTCATGCCTCAAAGTGCCACAAGAGGTGGGAAAATAAATAGGTATGTAGCATAGTTATTCAATACGATATCCCAAAACGCCTCGCTTCTGATGCTAAGAGCCAAAACATTTCTACTGTTAATACTAGATAATATTCGTGAAAAAGCAATATTGTACGAAACAGATTAGCTGGATCTTCGGTTTGGCCGTCTAGTAGTTGCACTTCGACGGATGCTTTCCATCCAAGCTGAATCGTCCAGCATTTCCCTGGCTTGGCTTGGGCTGACGGAACTCGTTCGCCGGTGAAGCTCTCCCGAAGGTGCCAGCTGGCCAGAACCTTCGCGGAGCTCGAAACCGAAACTTGCGGGTGAGAGCGGGGGCGATGGAGTTGAAGATGTTGATCGAGGGAAGCTCAGCGGATGAGCCCACGCCGATGAGCTCCATGAGGATGGTTGGCCGTCATTGGCCCCTTCGCTGTGTTTTCGCGAGTGGTGCCGTTTTCCGTCAACACTCAAATGTGTCGTTGATGTTGCTTGAGGGGCTGAATATCGTGTCTGTCCCTTGTCCTCATCAACCTGGCTGTCGAAATCAGGATCGACCATAATGTCGGGAATGTCCAGTTGTGGGATCGTAGACATTCGAGCAGACAGCCTTGACATTCTATGCTTTTTGAACTTCCTTGACCAGTACCTATCGGGGATAATCAGTAACCAGGGTCTATACTCGCCCTTCGGAGCGCGTTCCACAAAATGTCTGGCGACTTACAGTGTGTCAAAAAATCCCTGGACAATTTTCCGGCGGACCGAGTCCTCCACACGTTGTAGGCGTGCACGACGCCTCAAGAACTCATCCAACCTAGAGTACATTGTGTTAGTCGCCTGTTTCTACCTGAAACAACAATTCTGAGCGGAACAGAGACAGGAAGGGACATACTTGAGACTCTTGCTATCGTTAATGATGTTGTAATGAGCCAGGATCATGAGAACGCCCGTGAATGTGACTCCTCGATCAGGATCAGCACTCACTAAGACCTCCTCATAAAACATATTGAAGCGTCTTCTTCGTTCACGGATTTTGTCTTTGTCTAGGAGAGCTAGACGCTCATTGAGCCTGGTAAGGTTAATGTTGCTATAGCCGCTGCTCGTTGCAATCGATGCATGAGGATCTCTCTTGTCTTGGCCATGAATATCGTCCAATATCTGGTGTATGGAATCCTCGGCATCATAGATGCGCATTTGAAAGACACCAGATAGCTCACTAAGTAGTCTTGGGAAAGTCTCTTTGCTGATTGCACCCGTTCCGGCAGGGTCAACGCTGCGCCAAGCCTCTTTGAAGCGCCGAATTTCGTCACGATCAACAGCCGCAACCCAAGTTGAGCGTTGGTAGACGTAACTAAAGCTCTCGTAGATGAGAGAGACGAATAAGTTGACAAAGAGATACATACTGAGGATGTTCCAGGCCACAAACAAGAATCTCGCCCACGGCTTACTTCCACAGTCACTTCTGAAAAAATTACCGTCATCGGTACAGAACGGAGGCTCAATGAATGCGTAGTCCTCCATGACTGCATTCCAAGCCTCTCCGAAACTCAGCCGAAATAGCAAGATCATTGCTTTGGGGACGGTTCGGAAGTTACAGTCACCACTCGCTTCGGATCCAAACCGGGTTAAGCTGAAGGCTTGTGTAAAAGCGATAGCGAAGGCCAGGAAGAGCACAAGCCAAGTGGCTAAGAGATTGATGATGCTGGAGACACTGGCTGCCGCCGTTTTGAAAAGTTGATCCAGAGCATCGTTGCGAGGAATAATCAACAAGACAATTCCGACCAGGAAATACTTATGGACCTGGACAAACGTGTCCTTTTCGTGCTTGACGATGAGAACCGCGACTGTAGCAGCCAGAGCACCGGAAACAGAGATAAGAGAGTATAAATCCCAAGCGCTTCGGCGGAAGCGGGTCCAGCCCAAGCCCTGTATCCGAATTCCGATATTCGCCACGTATATCAGGATGAAGATGAGGAATATTGAACTTCGAGTAGTCTCCCACTCTCGTGGCTCGCCTTTGAATTCGATCATCGATAGGACAAGGTGCAAGACCAAGACGACGGTGACAGTCTGGTACCATTTGCCACGTTTCTCGATTGCCCGTTTGTGGCACCACCGTGTCCAGGTCCGTTTTCCTGAATCGTCATACGAGCTCTTTGATGGCGAAATTTGCCGCAACAGTTTCCGCAACTCAAGCCAGGATCGTTGCTCAGCAGTCAGGTACGCGACTCCGGTCTGTTCCGTATAATTTCGCATAAAAACTGAAATGAACAAAGTGAGCACAAAAACGGTAGCCATCAGATTGAAAATGATGAAGAATACGCCGTTTGCTTCGGATGTCCTGGGTTGGGGTTGGTAGCCACGGCCAGTGATTGCTTGGGCAGCAAAAGACACATCCGTCCAACCTTCCTGACTGGTAATTCCGAAAAGCGTGAAAATGGAAGAGGAGAAGTCGTCGAAGCGGAAGTAGCTGTTCGAGGCAACTCTTGGGGCTAAGGTTTCCCAAGAATTACTGTAGGGAGTGCTAACAAATTCTCCAAAGCAATCTTCGAGCTTTGTGATCAACCCCTCTGTATCGTCATTGCAGCTAATCATCAGCCCATTGAACAAGTTCAGCCCGTAAATTGCGAAGGGAATGAGCAACGAGATTGAGATGAATGCAGCCTATAAGCATCAAACCATTAGAGTCTGGGGTTGTCAAGAAGGATGAGATGTAAAGATGAGTTGGGCTGCACTTACACCAAGCAATTTCCACCATCCAACAATAATAAGTGAGTGGAAAGTGTTTCGCGCACTGTTGCTGATATTCAATAAGCGGAGAGCTCGAAACGCCTTGACTGCTCCGGTCGCCCTGGAGACTTTATCGTTGTTGTCTAGTAGAGTTCCAACATTCACCCAGAGAGTAATTAGCACGATTGTATCCACAATACCCCATGAACTCCTGAGATATGCATTGGGGGTGTTGATAAGGCCGTCTGCAATGACTTTGATGCCACTCTCCACAGTGAAGATAACAGCAAAGGCCAGATCAGTCCACACGTACCACTGCAGCTCATCACGCTCTACATATGGCAACTGATACAACGGAGTTGTGATGCAGGCAATGATGACCATGGCCACTGTTGCAGCATATACAAAAGCGGAGAAGGAATACCAGGCAGCTTTGTTTGGCTCAACTCCGTCGATCCGTTCGTAGCCTCTCGCCGGGCCAACAAGTCTTTGGCATAGGCGTCGGAGAGGGTGGTTTGGGAAAAATAGATAGAGCGATTTGTTATACGTGGGGTGGCGAGCAAGGTACTCTCGCTGCGCTTGGCGGCGAGTTGATGCCGCCGATACAGCCTGCTGCGCCATCTGCCTTGCGTCCAGAGTGTCATCCAGACTATTGAAGTTGATGGTTGAGTAAAATGGGTTTGGCTCTCGCTTCACAATACGGTTAACAGCCCTACCCCAGATTTTCGAAAGAAATCCAGGGCGAACATCACCTAGAAGAGTCGTCGCAGACCTTTGGGGTGGACCATGTTCACCAACATTCTCCTTCTCCGTTTCTCCAGGCTCGTCAAGAAATTCTTTGACGACGGCATCTTTAAGAAGCATTTCAGTCATCGCTGGGCCGTGATCAAATGGGTCCTTAACGCGACGGGCTTTCCCAAAGCTGAAAATAGTAGACAGCGCGAGAGTACTTGAAGAACTGCCAAGATCTCTCCGTTGGAGAAATGCCTTGACCTGCTCCAGCCGTTTTTCGTCCTCGGAGACATCAAAATTCTCTTGGATGACAGCAATGAACATGTTGACAAGGATGAAGAAGGAGAGAATGAACCAGCCGATCAGAAATATCGCACCAATCCATGCTGTACCATGTTCGGTTGTGTGTGAAGTTACCATGTACAGGATCCCAGTCCAACTCTCCGTGGTGAGCACCTGATATACGCCTAGAAACGAATTGTATAACGTATAGAAGGACACGTTATTGATTTCGCCGCCTTCATCTTCGAGTGGAATCACACCCCTGAAAAGCTGAGCAGCAAGAATAGCGGCCAGAAAAGACATCAAGAAGACAAAGAGCATCAGATTAGCAATACCCGCTGCATTTCCGAGTACCAGCATAATCAGCTTTCTCGTTACAGGTATAGCCAGGACCACGCGGTAAGTTCTAAGAATCTGAAAGACAGTAAGCCATGGATATGCTGCCGACTCCTTAATCGGAGGAATCAAAATGATCGAGGTGATGACAGCCAAAAGGAGATCGAACAAATTGCTTTTGCTGCGATGGAAACCGCGCCAATTTACCGCAATCCTCAGGATTATATCGATATCAAGGAGAACAGTCACCAAAATTTCGGCGTAGTTCACAAAGTCGCGTGTCGTTGTCTTCATATCTGAACTTCGAAAGGCTTGGCTCACCAGGCCAAATACAATCACTACCACCCAGAACACGCGTGATTTTTCGTACATTCTTTCCAGCGTTGGAACGCGGCGGTACTCATCTTCCTCGAAGAGATGAGAGGCCCGAGGGTCCTCGGAGGTAAAAGCACTTGAATGCGACTCTTCACGGATGACCTGGAAGGATGATGTAATGACAGCAATCAATAAATTGATGAGCCAAAGCGTCAACACCATGACGCCCGAACCAAAAAACAAGGCAGCGACAGTATAGTCCGACTGTATCGTCCAATACATAAGGTCCGAGAACGTGTTGGCAGCCATGATTACAAAGACGAGCTCCAGCGATTGGGCGATGTTGTCGAAGCTCACGGTGCCGCCGTAAGGATTGCTCTGCTCTAAGCAAAGGGATCCACGGGGGCAAAGGAAGCCTTTCCCGCGATTACTGCCATTCGCTAGGTTACCCGGCTCCAAGGAACCTTTCAAGTTTTTCATCTTTACCCAAGGATGAGTATCACCCGTTTCATTGTTTCTGTAGCCACCGCAAAACCCTTGGTCATGTCGGTAGGTTGAATTGAGATCAGTGGGATTGTCCGGGTCTAGCCATACGCATTGGCGACTGAAGCTTGCCTTGAAACTTTGAAGGCCAACAATAGCGAAGAGCAGCCAGAAGAAGCATATGAGGAATGCAACACGAACTAGCAGCGGCGCCGCCTTCTTCAAACTTTGCAGAATGATCTAAGATGGCGTTAGTCTGCGCTCATGACGAGTCCTGTGGTTGTGCAAGTATCTTACCGCTGTTCCATTGGTGATAGCCAACAGTCGTAATATTCGTAGGCAACTGAGCATTTTGAAAACATACAAATTGTGCTGATATTCCCAACCCGTAATGCCAAGTATAAAAGAAATCCAGTAAGCAATTACGGCGACAAAATCCAATCGGTTAAAGGAGTGTCGCAGAAATGAACGTCGTGCTAGCTGGAATCGTTGATGTTCCTCCGCTGTTTCAGGCAAGGCTTGCTGTCCTTGCATGAGGGTGGTGAAAGATCGAGAAATCATGGACGGCTCTTGGTTGAATTGAACGCTTGCTTTCTGGGACTTGTGCTGGGGCTGAAACACCGCTCTATATTGGTCTTCAATAGCAGCGCGTATGCCCCTTTTCCTGTCAATAGTGCTGTACTCTGAGGCATTGAGGATGAAACCAGAAACAATAATGCGAGTGATAACCTCTAGTGTGAAAATGATAAATAAACCTAGGATGGCCCAGTCTATCCATCGCTGACCCCAGCGCTTTGGTCGCCCATACCCGTCAGCAAACACATTCGGGGCTGATTCAATCGTGAGCAAGACGGTCTGAACCACAATGAGGAGCAGGATCAGAGGTTCAAGATACGGGTTCACTAAAACGTCGCATAGCTTGTTCCTGATGACACTATCAGGTCCAAAAATTCCCAATGATCTCCCTTTAAGTGGATTGGGAGCTGGTTGCCGAATATGTGGTCGCGAGGGAATCTCACTAGACGAGAATCTCTGATCTCCAGACTTTCCACCCGCTAAATTTTCGGTCTGGGAAGGATAAGAGGTGTCTGTATGTCCGGTGAAGCTGGGCGCTCGGCTACGGCTTGACACAGAGCCACGTGGTGATCTTGAATGGCGATTGGAATTTTGACGTTCGGTCACCTCATCTCCGCTAATATTGACCACACGTTGTGACATAGCTCTAACGATTGACCCGGCAAGATGTAAAGCATCGGACGTTGAAGATACGGGGCGAGATGAAGAGTGATATTCGTTTGGGTCCAGAGACATCCCATAACTTGGACGGCGACGGGGTGATCTTGAGCCATATTCGGTATCCCTATTAGGGTGTAGCATGTCACGGAATCTGGGCTGGTCGTTTCCGAGGTCTGACACAGTTTGGAAGCTATCACGAGGATGAGAGTCTCCCGCATTAGACGTGGATTGCAGGCCAGCCGTGAGGGGCATCCGGTCTGACTCGAGAAGGTTTCTGCCGGCAGAGTCTTCCATGAAAGGATTTGTATTATCGAAGGAAAACCGTTCGTCTACCGTGGTGATGTCCAACGGCGCAGAGAGATTGAGTTCAGGGGGGAGAGCAGCCTGGAGAGCCGTCGGATCGATCGGTGAGCTAGGTGTCACGCCCTCGTCCAACCGAGGATCATAAGGTTGATCCCATGCAGGAGTAAGGGACACTGCTGGATGTAGCCGAGAGGACGGCGCAGAAAGCGGTTGTTGGGAGGCATCTCGATCTGCTTGCCCATAATTGGGGTCCATCCAGCCACCAAAAGGCTGTGAGGGCCGCCGAGATCCTGGACCACCGGTCGGTTGGTCAGACATGTTGCGGACAGGAGGTTTGATTGTTGAACGAGCGACAACCTTTGTAGAGGACTTGGGCCTCAGCTAGGAAGAAATCGTTGGTCGTCGATGGTGGAGCGTCGCATCGTCGTCGTTTGTATCGTTTTGAGGCAACGGTGAAGACAATAGAAGATACACACACGACTCCAGATCCCGCACGATGACCATGTAAGAATGGAGGCTTGAGACCGCCAAAAATCCAACACCAGAGAAGCCCTGCTGCTGATGGTCAATACGAACTCGCGGCCAAGAGCCAATGAAGAAGCTCTGGAGCCCTTCAGCAACTGGTCCCTGAATTGCGTGTCGGCTTGCTGTCGGGATGCTGCCAAAAATAGAATCGTTAGCATGCCTCTATCCTTGCTAGCAAAACGCTCGGTACCTTCTCGCATTCTCTGCTAGAGACTCATTACGCTGTCGCATAAACGCATAGTAATCACGTTTGGCCACTATCGGGAGTACAAGGGCCTCATCCACGCTAAGCCGTATTTGGAAGGGGCGACAGGGGCTCTCAAAAAAGATGTCTGACAGAAGCTTGCCCACTGACTTGAAGAACCAGGAAAACGCGACACAGCGCATCAAAAGCGCGTCTCAACAACCTTCAACCGCCAAGATGCCCTCGCGAAAGCGATCAATCGAAGCTGGCGATGGGCCGAGCGCCGATGAGTCGACGCTGTCTCGCCTGCGAAACATGTGGCAGTTTGCCAATCTCAGCCAGTGGATTTACATCTTTGGCAAGGCTGCGAAGATTGACGAGTCCATCGACATTGAGGCAAGCTTCTGCGCTCTGGCCGGAATATCATCTATCAAAGACTAACAAAGTATTCGGGGCTTAGGAACTCGAGATGGAGTGTTTGAAACCTCAGTCAACGGTTCTAGTAGATATTGCTGTCGCACTTCTTCGGCTTATCTCGAACCATCGCGGATTAACGTAAAGACCAGACCCCCCCCCTTCTCGATATCTTCTACGACAAGTCGCATTCTTTTCTTTTCTAATAACATGGTTACAGGCAGGAAATACTCAACTCTCAAGCACAGAAGCTTTATCTATTACGAGCGCCAGAGCGCAATCCCTTCGGAACCGATGATACCGCCCTGAATTTCCAAGACTTTGATGTCTTCACAAAGGTACACTGCCCCGTGGTTCCTTCGGCACCTAGCGCTCTCTAACATGAGTATATATAGATCACAGTCCTACAGCAGCTTACCCAGTGGGTGATGATTCATCCAGAGCGGTTTCGCGACAAAATGGAGGAACAGAAGGATGTCGATCAGGCAACGTGGGTAAGTCGAAGACTAAGTCAGGCTCGTGTTTGTCGCTGTACATGTTCTGATTCCTCATTAAACAGCGCATCGAGCCCTACGGATGGGACAGCGAGGATAGAACTTATTTCGTGCTGGACGACAACCGCGTTTATCGATTGACAGAAGCGCCTCCTGCTCCGCCACCGAAGCCGAAAAAGAAGAGGAAGTCATTTCGCGCAGGGCGCCGCACGAGTAAGCGCAGACGTACCGACCAAGGAAACTCCAGTCAACCCGATGAAACCATGGATATTGATGAAGAAATGCATGCAGAGCCTGAAGATGACGGGCTAGGTGGAATGACTTGGGAATGTCTTGCCATCTCACTCGGGGAAGTCCAAGCGCTTCTGGAAGGGTTCCGGAAAACTCGCGACGAGAATGAGAAGGTTTTACGAAAGCAGTTACAGGACCATCTCGTTCCGATTCTCGAGAAGCAGGAGGAAAGTCGGAAGAGAAAGGCACTCCAGCGTGAGAGAGAACTTCTCAACTTGGCCAAGATGGCCAACGCTAAACGATCAAGCCGTCTTGCTGGAAAAGCCGAACAAAAGAAACAAGAAGAAAAGGCCAGGGAAGAACTTGAGCAGCAGAAAGAGGAAGAAACCATTCGTCGCCGGGAAGCAAGTGCACAGATAAAGATGGAGCAAGAGCGTGAGCGGAGGATGGCGTCCAGGGGCAACCGTTTGAAGGAGCGCGAGGCCCGCCGTATTCAACACGAGGAAGAGCTCGCTCAACTGTCTGAAGATAGCAAACGAACAAATGACGGTGCCGGAAGAGCTTCCGCAAGGCGCCTACAGGCCGAGATTGAGAAGAATCAGCAAGCTCTCATGGAACTCAGCGCTGAAGAAGACAATTGGGTTTTTGATTGCGTATGCGGTCTATATGGCCAAGTTGACGACGGTACTCACAGCGTTGCTTGTGAGACATGCAACGTGTGGCAACACAGTAAATGTCTCAACATTAGTGAGGCTGAAGCTGAAAGAGCAGACTTCCACTTTGTTTGTGAATCTTGTCGTCGCCGTCAAGAAGAACTCTCAAAGCCAATTCATCAAATTCAACAGCTTAAAGTGCGCCAGACCACGCCTAACCAAGCCCAGACTCCTCTAGCTGGGAACAATGTTCTTACGATAAACCCTGCCTCGGAACAGAAGAACGGCCACAGTGTTGTTGGGTTGAAGCACTCAGCTGGGTCCGGGCCCAAGCCAATAGTACCTGAAGCTTTGAGCCTGTCGCAACAAAAACCAGCAGACGTTTTACAGCCAAATTCACCAAATAAATCCTCCTTCGAGATACCGCCCTCATTTGGAACACCAGCTTCATCAACTAAGCAAGTTCTCAATCTTGACAACGGCCCCGAAGCATCGCTTAGCACACCAAGCATTACTCGAGAAATATATCGTGCGGCCCATTTGGAAAATGGAAATCTGCCTTCTCATGCAGGAATATCACCAATAAAACACTCACCACGCAGTTCATTCACAGCGTCCAGTCCAAGTTCTCACAACATACACGGTGCGAGCGCTACAGCTCTGGCACCTGAGTTGACCTTGTCGCCAAACCCCCAGAAACCAATTCTAACGCCGCCTACAAAACAGGCCGAATCTGCAAGGCCGATAGAGCGAAGTTAGCGCGGCGAATCTCCATACGGCCCTGCGCGTTTTGCGTCGGGTCTGTTGTTTATTATGAAACTTCCAAAATAGCAATCTTTTAATGGTGGGCGTCCGTGCCTGCAAGGCTATTCACCCGACAATACATTCATGCTCTCTACCAATAATCCACATAACCTATTATCAGCAAGGTGACGAGCTCAGGGAGTTTTTTTTTTCTTGTGTGGCTATACTGCCTAGGTAAAAACAGAGCCATACCAGAAATGCAACATTTAAAAAGCAGTTGCCAACAAAACTCAAAGATACCCTAAGCAGGCATCAGGCACAGCAGATGCGAGTTCCTTGTATAGTGACTGCTGCTGAACTGATACCAACCAGTGCAAAGGGAGGAGTGGAATTACGGCAGCGCTTCTGATTCAAAAGGCTAGTGCTAGAGACTTCGCATGACGAATCCGCATCACAAGTGTGAGAGAAGCCAAGGGATACCATTGTTACAAAGTATTCCAGGCGCAAGAGGGGGCTAACAATAAGTCAACTGGAATGCGCCATGGCTGAACTTAGCGCAGTGTCCAATCAAACGCTGCGCTGCTGTACACCATCTGGCTCTAGTGGTCCAATAACACGAGGCTGCCAAAATATCCTCGCGCGCGGACCAAGTCGCTCCCTGATTTTCTAGAAAACCCATGTTGGTTGAACTAGACAATGGCTCTGGTGAAGTCGCGTGGAGGTCACGTACATAGCTACAGATCAGGGAGCGGTCATAGTTGTTCCTAAACTCGTTTATTCAAGGGGCAACTTTCTAATTCTAGACATGGCTAGGCTGTACCTTCTGGTCAAGGCCATCCGTCCTATGGTGTGTATAAGAGAGATCAATGGCCAAACCAGGGTAGTCGAGCAGTTGTCGCCTCCCGTAGTTTCAATTTTTGACAAAGGGTGTCAGTTCAAGGACTCTTGTCCCTGAATTTTTTTTCTTTCACTGTTTGTCAAGTCTACTATTTGAAAAGAATCAAGCCCAGTGGTAGACAGACAATACTTTTGTTCTCTGAGTTAAGAAACAAAACAGATTACAGAACTCAAACAAAGAGACCTGGGCCGGGCCTTGTCAGGTTCTTTCTTGTGAGAAATAAAAGCTCCTCTGTTGCAGCCATTTGAGCCTTCTAGCTTTTGACAATTCAAACCAATCTTGCAACATTCTACGAGACACGCCCTATACAAACTTTGAGTAATGTCTTTTCCACCAACACCTCCGATGGACAACGCATATTACAGCCATGGGCCCATCATACCTACCAATTCGAGTGGTCAAGTAGACCTCCGCGGATCACCTTATACGCCGCCCGAGGATGTGGGAGCTACATTCCGCGACCCCTCGACTGAAATGAACGTGCGTGCTTCTCATCCGAAATGCAGTTGTGAACCTGTTCAATGTGTCTTCAATGTGTCTAACTCGTATGTAGCCACAAACTTATTCTCATTATCATGGTCTTGTCTATCCGAGTGGACAAGAGGTGTGGCACCAGCACCCACAACAGGTAAGTAAATTCTACTTTGGTCGCAGAGAGTGAACAGAAAGTCTAATATTTATTAGCCTTTGTCACAATTTTCTCATCATCATCATCATCATCATCGTTATCCTGCACCTCCTCCGCAAAATGCTATTTATGCGGGAGAGGATCACAGGATAGTGAGGAATGCTGCTGCGCGTGGAAAAGTTGTCAAACAATCCAAAGAAGCCAAGCCAGTGTCGAAAAATAGGAAGAAGAGGGCTCAGAAACACAAGGAGCCTGAAATCCTGCCTCCCAACTTCAAGCCTTTGTCTGTCTTAGCACGAACTTACCCCGATTTCGACGACGGGCTCACTGAAGCAAAGGTTAGACGCGGAAAAGAGGTCCGAGAACATGAGAATATTACACAAGGAAGAGTGAAACGACCGCTCAATTGTTTTATTCTATACCGAAGTCATTTCAACAACGTGACGAAGCAAGAGCTCAAGAAAGCGGCAAAAGCAACTCCTGGAGAAAAGTCAAAAGATGGAGACCCGCACATACCTTCTATCAATCCTCGAGTCTCGGAGTATGTTGCAAGATCATGGAGGAATGAAACAGAAGCGATTAGGGCCAGATTTGATGCTCTGGCTGTCGAAGATGCAGCGGAACATCTGTTGGCCGACCCAGATTACAAATATACGCCAAAGCCGAAGAAAGGCAAGAAAGGCAAGAAAGGCAAGGCCCGGTCAAGTGGCAAGGGCAGAGCTAAAAGACGTGAGAGCAGTCCAGACTCAGATGATGAGGACGACGCAGATTTCTCTGACGGTGATATGGAATCGATATCATCACGTCATCATACACCTCAGACTATACACTCTGACTCGAGGAAGTCTCCCCTCCCTGAGGTGGCAGGACAGGAGTGGGTTGCTGTTGACAAGGAGTGGGTTGCTGTTGAAAAGGGGTCATCACCGTACCCCGACCCAAGGTACTACGACTATCATCAGCCATCACCAGCGTATCAGCAACAAGCACCAGCGTTTCATTACCAGCAAATGGGTCAGGAACTACCAGCGCGCTCGCAACAGTCACAAGAACTTTATCAACCTCCCAACCACAGGGAGCCTCCTCTTGGGACAGTTGATCCAAGAATGTGTCAACGACCAGGTACAGAGGACCCGCATCTGGGTCTGCCATCATCAACTCAATACACATCAACCCAATTCCCTCCAGTGTACACTGGTGGCAACAACGAAATCGAAACATCGGTCGGGCAATTTGGGATGCCATATGATCCCAATGAAATGGATAACATGCTTAACCTTTCTCCTTCTTAACTATGGAATTTGTAACCAGCGGGACAATGGTCGTTATAGCGGTAGAATGCCACTTGTTTATTGCTCGAGTAGTTTATAGCCCTGTCTTTGTTATACATGTATATGTGCTGAAGGCAGATTCTCTTTTGTTCATTCACGGTCGGATGGTTGTGCTCTTAATTTAGGTATCCTGTGGATTTAGAAGTTGAACATTCTTATTTTTTAATCTTATCGCAGACCTGGCGGGGTTGTGTCGTAGAAATAGCCAATGATCATAATAGAGTGAGGGCTCAATGTGCGTCTAGAAACGATTGAGAGGACATTTCTCATTTCGCATTCACAGTGGAATTTTCCGAGTTTTATGGATGATAAAGAATGGAAAAGAAAGGGTAGTGAGTACTTGGTCTGGAGTGTGTAGTTCATGACTTAGGTAATATGAGGCCAAGTTTGATTATGTCATCAAATGGCCAAATCAACCGCTTCCCTGCCTCAACAGCAACTCATAGCTTTCCTCTGCCATACCTTGCATTTGCGTCATCAATCATCCTCAAGAAGTACACAAGAAATACTCCAAAATGGGCTTCCCTGCGCAACTCGTCACTTTTGCAGGGCTTGTTCTTCTAGCGCATGCGTCTGTTACCCTCATTGCCCCTTGTGTATCACCTCGGTTTCGTTGCTAACCTGTCCTTTGCACAGTGGATATTCAGCTCAGGAGCATGCAGCGCTCTCGTCAACACTAGTCAACCTCCAACTCTCTTCGAAAACATTACCTCTTGATATATCTATCGAAACGATAGTTGCCACCTTAATAGTGTCCCTCGGTCTGATCTGGGGCTCCCCCCAACTTCGACCAATCCAGTGGCACGTCTGGGCTGGGAAGATCGAGCGCGAAGGAATCGCTGGATCAGCGGGCCAAGGGAAAGAAGCCGAGAAGAAATTCCAGGGCAATCCATTCAACGCTTTGGAATTTCGATCCGGATTTGTCGATATTCGTAAGCAAAGGAGAGAATTTGCCGACTGGGCCAAGAGCGGGAAATGACATGGCAAGCATTAAAGATTGATCATTGACGGTGGGGGGCTCAAATAATGGAATGGCCCAAGGGTTTGGGATCTTGCCTTAGATTCATATGATATTCATGGATTGGCCACCTTGCTCATTTTCTGCATGTCCATATCTTAGCTACTAGGTAATAAATCTCCTAGCTGGCAGCGCACCCCTTGCTTATAGCCCATTGTTAATAGATGGAACATATCTAACCCCCATGGCCAACATTCCTCGTACCATCGATCAACCATTTCATATACCTTAGTACAGTGTCTACCTAGGTACCTATATACGGTTCCTATATAAGTAAGGTCGTATCGTTCCTACCTTACTTGCATTACCTATGTAGGCCTCAGTTATCGGGAGCTAGTGGAGTACCTAAGGCAACTACTTCCCGGTGTAGGAGGTACACGTACCATGGAAGGAGCGAACTCCAACCGAGATTTTAGAAAGTGCCTGCCCAGAAAGTATGCGATGGAAGGTACAGATTGCTCCCAAGTGTCATTGTATGGTTATCGAGTCAACAAGGTGCAAGAACTCCTCCGACTTTTTACCTCCTTGCCCAGATTACACAGCCCGTAGTGAACTTCTTGCAGATGTTCAACTAGCTTCTCCAGAGTTTCATTACCCAAGTATTCAAGATGGCCTCACGATCTACACCCATGAAATCAGCAACTGGCTCGTCTCCGCTCATGCCTCGTCAGCGAAAACGCCAGAGAACCTCGTACCCGTCAAATCCAGCCGCACAAACAGGACAACAGGGCATGAACTATGGATCTAGAAATAATTCCCAACCAGGTTTATCGAGCACATCTCAAGTACTGAATCCATCGTCTCCCTTGGGTTCGTTCAACTCTAGCACGCTCGCTAGACGCCAAGGCAACTCTCCAAATTCAATTCATGAAGATTCTCCAGCAGACAAGGATAGTCATGAGTTGGAACTTGAAGATGGCTTTTCAGAAGAGATCATTATGGCCATTGATCTAAAAGGCACTGACACCATGGGATGTGCATACTTCAACACTTCTACCGCTACTCTGTACTTGGCTGAAGATATCCTTCAAGCTACGTTGGACGTAGTCGGACAGCTCGTCATGCACGCTCGTCCGACAACATTTTTGGTTTCACGGAGAGCACGAGAAGACTTGATGGATACCCTGGAAAAGTTGAACTCGCAAGGTGATTTCTTTTGTTCCAAACAATCTCTCTAGAGCACATTAACAGCTAAAGTTTTAGCAGAGCAGAGCCATTTGTTCAACCTCCGAGTTGTTCCCTCTTCTGATTTTTCCAACACATCTGCTAGAGAAGGACTTGCCTCCCTTGACCTAGACATTGCCGACTCTGTTCAAACACTGGTCTCATCGTCTGACAACAGCCAATTAGGTGCCTCGCACCACGAAACTCTCAAGGAATCTCGTGTAATAAAATCACTCCGATGCGGTTCTTTGATTAACATAGACAGTCATGTTTCCGTAGGTAACAATGCTCTCCATTGATGATAATTAATCACTAATGCTGTACTAGATTAATTGTGCAGGGGCGGTCATGGTTGAACTTCATCGACGTCGCTCAGCAGGACATCATTCACAGTCAATTTACTCTGTTTCTTCTCTAAGAATGTTCCAACTTTCAGATTATTTGTTTATTAGCGCTGAAACACTACTATCGCTTCAAATTGTACGTTCAGAACTCCATCCTAACAGCCAGATATGGGGGCAGGGCCCAAACAGCAACAGCATGAAAGAAAGTCTTTCTATTTACGGTCTCTTCCATTTCTTAGCCTGCACCTCTCAAGGACGAAAGTCGCTACGACAAATATTTCTACGGCCAACTTTAGACATGGATACCATCGTCGAAAGACAGCGAACGATACAATTTCTCTTACGGCAAGAGAACACGGATATTGTCAGGAAGATTCCCTCAGTGTTGCGAAGGGTTAAAAATGTGAGAAGTATCATGGCACATCTTCGCAAGGGTATTGACTTGGCGGCAGTCCGCCAGTCATTCGACAAGTGTGTGTGGGCCAGTCTGAGAGCATTCACGGTGCAAACGCTGAGATTGAGAGAAATGATTGCAAGCCTTCGCGGAGGTGACGATATTGAGATTGTTCGCCGGGTAAGCGCCCCCGGGTGCCCGCAAAACAAAAGTAGATGGGCAATGCCTTAAGTACATATCTGACCACTAATGCAGGTTCTGGAAGGTGTTGAGCCATCCATTTTGGTCCGAGCCGGGGGGCTTGTTGACAAAACTATCGACTTTGATCAATCTATCGAGCAGTATCGCCCTTCTGTTAAGGAAGGCATAGATCCAGAATTGGATCAGTTAAAACGACTCTATGGAGGAATGCCTAGTTTCTTGAGCAAGGTGGTCAAACAAGTAAGCCGCAATGTACCAGAATGGGCACACCGGTACATTCAATCTTGCGTGTTTCTCCCCCAACTTGGGTTTTTAACTATGGTTGAATTCGATCCACAAACGAAAAGTGCCAAGTACGAAGGCGAAGGCGCAATAGATGATAAATGGGAACAGCTCTTTACTGCGAACGACGCAGTATGCTATAAAAATCGCTACATGAGAGAGCTCGATGAGCAGTTTGGGGACATGTATTGTCAAATAGGCGGTATGGCCCTGCTTATTCAAGGACGCGAGCTAAGATACATTTTTCGCTAATTCTTAAGTAGATAGAGAGGTTGAGATCGTTCACAATCTGGTCAATCTCGTTCTCGAGCATGAAGATGTTCTGATAAGAGCATCGGACTTATGTGGTGATTTTGACGCCCTTGCAGCTCTCGCCGCTGGCGCCGAGAAATATAGGTGGGCAAAGCCTCGAATGACAACAGCAAATATTCTCGAAATAAGAGGCGGACGTCATCCTCTTCAGGAACTCGTCGTGACTACATTTGTGCCAAACGACTGCCGCCTATCATACGAAGAAGTAGATGATCCGGATGCCACCGAATCAAGCTCAGCTCTCCTAGTCACCGGTCCGAATCATTCAGGAAAAAGTGTTTTCTTGAAGCAAACTGCCATTATCGTCTACCTAGCCCATATTGGAAGTTTTATACCAGCGGAGAGTGCTACTATTGGTCTGACAGATAAAATACTTACCCGTATCTCGACTCGAGAAAGCGCCACCCGTAATGAGAGCGCATTTGCCATCGATCTCAAACAAGTTGTTCAGGCTACAAGAAATGCCACAGATCGAAGCCTTGTGCTTGTAGATGAGTTCGGTAAAGGAACCAATTCGGATGATGGCGCGGGTCTTTTGGCTGCTGTCTTGAGCCATTTCCTCTCACTTGGCTCGAAATCCCCTAGATTATTGGTTGCCACACATTTCCATGAGCTCTTCGAATGTGGCTACTTGAAGGAACTACGGGGCTTAGCTTATGCTCACATGGATGTACGAACACATACTGCAGAGACCGGCGAGGATGGCGAAATCACATTTCTTTTCAAGCTCACGAGTGGCTACAGCAACTTGAGTTTTGGGGGAAAGTGCGCAGCGCTGAATGGAGTACCTGATGCAATTGTGTCTCGGGCAGATGCAATCTCAAATCTTCTCGCTCACAATGAGGATCTGGCCTCAGCCTGCGCAAAGCTGTCACGAGAAGAACAAACTCGATTGGAGGAAGCGGAAGTGGTGGCACGCAGATTCTTACGAGCAGGCCTAGAAGCTGGCAAAGGCACCACAGGTTTTCATGCCACAGTATCGTTGGAAGCCATATTAAACAATATATTGGCTCCTCCCTAGCTATTGTCGTCATTTCAAAGGATAAGATGCGGAAAGATAGATAGTAAGGGAAGTGGCTATGTCCAAGAGCTTTAAAGACGCATCAATCTCAGGCGAATTGCAACCTCGGGGGACACAGCAATTGCCATTTAGTGCGATACTATTCACCAAAATAAAGTTTTGACATTTATATTCTCGGGTCGTGACATTCGTATCCGTCATAAAGTCTATAATTTGTTACCAGATGAAAACTCGAAGAACAAAAATAGCAACGAGAATGAGCAGATGGTTGACGTTCCACCAAGATCTTCATCACCAATTTGTCATAGCCGCCAGAAATAAAGATTTCATGCTGCCAATCTCTTGAGCCGCTTGGTCCTAATTCCATCTAACGTTGACGATTAAAAAGGGTATATATATCGCGAGAAGAGTTCAAGTTGTGAATGTACGTGAAGGGTCTATGTGCATATGTGCAATGGCCCGCCTGTGATATACGCCGCGTCACTGCAGCCATCGTATAGCGGTATATCAGCTACCACACTCTCGACACTGTTGGAAGCCTACTCCCTTGCTTAGAAAGAAAACAATGCTTAAGAAGTGACAAGAGAGACCGGCAAGAGAGAGGACGAGCCCTGAAGAGAATCAACCCATAGCGACAGCTGCAACAAGGATGGCAACGATGGAAACGAGATGCCTCTGTTGACTAGCCTGTCGTTGGGCCGCAGACTCTTTGTAATTATCGCACGGCGTTGCTTCCAAGTTGGCACAAGCCTGCGAGCTTAGACTGGAGCAAACCGAAGTAGCCGAGGCGCCCAGGTTGACGTTTGGAGCCCCGACTGTGACACCTCCGCCGCCAGGCACTGCTATTGTTACGGCGAGCCCATTGCCTGTAGCGGTACCACCTCCCAGCTTAGACGTGCAGATTTGGTAATTCTCTGAGCAGGCCAGAAGAGCAGAGGTGCACTCTGCCCGGTCATCGTAGGTGGTGAAGGCATACGGGAAGGAGAAGTACGAGTTGGGGACGAATGACACAACCGCTGTCGCAGCGCCAGTAGCCGTTTGGCCAGGTGCGGTTCCCGTGCAAACAAGACTAGAGCGACGGCAAGATACGGCGGGTTAGCAAAATTCGTTTCGGGGGGTTCCTTTCGATTCGGGATCTGGTTAGCAAGCCACTGGATAACCTACCCAGATGGGCAACAGGCGGGATTGTTGTTGTTGTCAAAGGCACAGCTCTGGCCATTTGCGCAGCAGACATCGCTAAAGGCAGCCCCCAGTGACGTAGGGCATCGAAATGTATTGCCTGGACATTCGTCGGCTCTGCGGAAAAGGGCATCCTCGATGGGAGCATAGGTCGGTTCGGGAACGAAGACTGCAGACGAAAGCGCTGCACCGCACAGGAGAAGGGGGGCTTGGAGCTTCATCTTGCAGACGGATGTTGAGGTTGTGTATGTTTTGTTTGTTTTGTTTTGTTTGGGCCGCCCCGGCTCGGTTGGGAACGGCGGCAGATCAGCGCGGGTCAGCTCCGATGAGCTTGGATTTCTTTGGTGAGCAGGCAATTGGAGAAGTAGCAGGTGTTGACGCCTCGATGCGGCGATGAGGAAAGCAAAATAGGGCGATATGCAGGTAGTATTGTAGGTGAAGTTGGATCAGATCACCTCTGCCCAGACATCTTCAGTCGTTCTGCAGGCACTGACCGTATTCTGTCCATGTACCTCGCTACCGGGAGTAGCCCAGAACTAGGAGGTAAACTTATTTTATGCACTTGCAGGTGGGGTGCAACAAGCTGTCTAGCTGGGCGCATGGATCTTATCCAAGTGCTGCGGCAACCACCCATGCACCGAGCATGGATTCCCACTACCCAGCTGAGACGGCCTAATGATTATCACATGGTTGCTGGTTGGGCATCGGGGTTTAGACGGCTCTCTTCTCCAGCACCCAACATTCATTCATTCATTCATACATACTTGGTATCTCATGCAAGGAACTGGTGAGCCCTGCCGTGTAGCTTTCACTCTCTTATTCTCACTGCTAGCGTTGTACTAGAGCATCTCAGCCTGAACCTCCCCGCAGATGGGCTATTATCATTCTCAGGCGGCCCAGGGCCCTTGTTTGGCCTGGAGCGGCCTGGCCAGCCTCATCTTGTGACGCGATGTTCTTGATTTCCTGTCTTGCCTCCGACACCAAAGGTCCCAGGTCACCCCATACCTCATCAGTGTAGTGCGAAAGCACGTCTCCCCACTGCTGAATCCATATATTTGTTGCACCGGTCTGGTCTGAGGTGCCTGTAAGCTGTTCGACTCCTTCATTTATACCATCACTTGGGTTTACCAGAAACTGAGGTGTGAAATTGAGTATGTCATTCCACAGCAGCTCCCGCCCATGCAATCCCGTATCGAAGAGCGCGCTCCGGAGCTTAGAGGCAGCTTCTGGTGACAAGCCTATGTCGAAATCATCTCCCGTAGGCATCATCTCATCGGAATCAGGTTGAGAGAGGATATTTACAACCGCCAGCCCATCCATCTCCTCAATCTGTTTCGTCTCGTCTGGCCTCAGCAAATCTCGAGGGTTCTGTCCATCCAGAATGGGGGGTTCTTGGGAGTGCGCCGTGAATTCATCGAAAGCCTTCGCGGCTGGAGCCTGATGGCCTGCTTGCCTAGATCCAGACACTGATGCTGTTGCCAACGATGCGCCTTTCCCTTGCGCAGCTATATCTTGTGCGACGTTTGATGACTCCCCAGCGCTCACAGAAAGCCCCGGCAAAGGACCAGCTTTGCTCGAGCTTGAGGCAGATAGCGACTGGACAGCTTGTGCTGAAGGTGTCGCCATAGCCTGCGCGGCCATTCGACCCGAAGCCCAGAGCCTGTCTGGCAGAGAGGTCCCCGTGCCTGTTTGCGCATTTGCTGAAGCTTCTTCCCCGTGATTCAATGAGTTGCGATCCGGAGGTGCTGCACCCTGCGGGTGGTCATCCTTGCTCTGATTATGCTCCATCTAGGCGACGATCAACTGCCGTTAGCCTCGAGTGAGGGGGGGAGATCTATCGCTGAAGTGCAAGAATAGGTTGTGTCTGCACCATATGAATGTAAAGAATGTGAAAAAAAAAAAATTGAAAATATACAAAAGCTGATCAAAAAATGATAATCCACAGGCTGTGAGGGTGCAAGTGGGATTTTATGGCAAGTACCTAACCTATCTATGTAGGCATGACGTTGGATGGCTCGGCAGGGCAATTCATGTGCCAGAGAGGCTGTGATGGTATTATGTACCACAGGCTGGCCATCACCAAATGGATGGAAGTGACAGTGCCTCGGCCCAGTTGAAGCCCACCACCAGGCTGGCTGATTGACATGGAGGCTACAGCGCTTGGCTTCGGCCGGGCTAGCGGGGCACTCGGATTTCAGCGGGCCTGGCCTTGGAACCCGAGAGCTCCGTGACGTTTTCGGGAGGACGGGACTCCTCTACGGGATGGACTACGTATACATAAATACAGCTGGCAGCGAGCAGTCCATCAGCCGGCTGCTGGTGGCTCCCTGGGGGCGCAGAGAGGCAAACAATAAGAAACATGTCACAGATGTTGGAGGAAGGTGGGGTCAAATGGAGGGGTGACTTGTAAAGATAGCTAGGGCCGCATCGTAGCTGTGAACGGATGCCTCACCCCTCGGCCAGTCTTCACACGAAAGGTGGTTGATACCAAGCCCAAGGGCGAGCTGTCGGTATACCAAATAATAGAGGACATGCCCAGAATCGAAATGGGTGGAGGAGGAGGAGCACCTCAGCTAAGCTCTGTACTCGCTTGGCCACGCCATATTCTGGACCGCTTCCAGCTAGGTAAGCAAGTAAATGTGGGTTCTCGCCTACCTGCATAGAGGCACCACCAATTCTTCATTAGGGTCACACTACGTATTACCTCAACGATTGTCGAGGCAGGTACCCAGTACCTCGTCCAGGTTGGCTGTCTGAGGCCAGGCCCAAAGTGCAGGCAAGCGCCTTTGTGGCGGGAGGGTATGACAGAAGAGCTATCTGGTGCCCCGACAACAATAGAATGAAGCTCGTGTCGCAGCAGGGAATGCATCACAAAGCGAGGGGGAGGGGGAAAACGCCAGTACCAAATCTGTCTACAGGATGCATGAAGTATTACTGGAGCGAGGATTGGGCGGGACAGTTGATCGGCATACCTTCTATGTGCAGCCAGGGAACTTGATAGCTGGGCGGGCGGGCAGGTCGAGATCCAGCCCACCGCCCTGAGCTGCTCTCAATCATCAATGCGTGAGGCGAGCTACGGTAGGTGCCTAAGGTGTTGGGCGACGGGAGCCCTCTCCATGCCTCCATACCTTACATATCACCTTTGGTCACCAGTAGGACGTAGGTAGGTGCGTCAGGTCAGGGTAAGGTACCTAAGGTGGGCAGACAGGCGTGTGCGCTGGGCATCCAGGCAAGACTGCCAGGTTCCCCACACCTGATTGATGGTTCACTGGCGTGTTGCGAGGACCTACCGCCCGCCACCACACGACCACCACTGCCACCGCTAACACGCACCGTCCAACACCACCTCAGAGATCATACTCGCCCTTCTTGTACCTTGCCTTTCTTCCCCTCAGCCAACGACATCATCAATCCCAAAACTTTTCCGCCGCTGTCCACGCCTCCCACCCCGATCCCATCCACCACCCGCACCGCATCCAGGCTACCTGGAGCCTCTCGCCTTCCAAATTCCACGACCACGCCCATCCTCTGTTCCCGCTTTCTATTGATTCTTCAGCCCGTCTTGGAATTCCCCTCCCCACCCTATCTAACACCACCACCACCACCACCACTCCCGCTACTTTTGCTTGTCCCGTCTCCAACCCTCCTCCGCCTCCCACCTTTCAACTCCCATCTACCGCCCTCACTTAGCTTCAGCTGTCGGCTCTCAGTTGTCGCCTACTCCCACCAACTCCATCGCCAGCGCTGCCCACCAACATGGTCGACAGTGAAGCTAGCTCGCCTACGTGGAAATTCACACAGTACGTCCCCATACTCCAACCTTGGACCGAATCAATAACCAACAGCAGGATACAGATGCTTTGGCGATAAGGGAGATGTGGAGGACATCACCGAGGGTATGCCCACTCGCTTCTACCACCTATCGCCTTGTTCATGTATACTGACCGCCTCTCCCCGTCGCAGCTGATATCATCTCCACGGTTGAGTTCGATCACACAGGAAACTACCTAGCCACTGGCGACAAAGGAGGTCGCGTCGTTCTTTTCGAGCGGAATGAGACGGTATGTCATCATCTCGACGCATGATTTCTTCAGTTTCAAGCTGCTGTTGCCCTGGTCTGCCAGTCTGACAAATAAACCTGCAGAAAAAGTCTTGCGAGTATAAGTTCCATACCGAGTTCCAGTCCCACGAACCCGAGTTTGACTACCTCAAATCCCTCGAAATTGAAGAAAAGATCAACAAAATCAAGTGGTGCCGCCGACAAAACGCCTCACACTACTTGTTATCGACCAACGACAAGACCATCAAGCTATGGAAAGTCTTTGAGAAGTCTCTCAAGGTAGTGGCCGAGAATAACCTATCTCACGATGTCACACCGGCAAACGTCGTCGGGGCTGGCGGCGGAAACGCCCTGCGCCCCCCTCCGTCCGCCTTCAAGAATGCCTCTGACCTCAAACTTCCACGCTTGACCCATCACGATACCGTCGTTGCCGCCGTCCCACGCAGAACCTATGCAAACGCCCACGCCTACCATATTAACAGCATATCCGTGAACAGCGATGGCGAGACGTATATCAGCAGCGACGATCTTCGCATCAACCTTTGGAACCTCAACATCCAAGACCAGAGCTTCAACATCGTTGACATCAAGCCCGCGAACATGGAGGAGCTCACTGAGGTGATAACGGCCGCCGAGTTCCACCCACAGAGTTGCAACTGGTTCATGTATGCCAGCTCAAAGGGCACAATCAAGCTCGCAGATATGCGTGAGAGCGCGCTCTGCGACCAACATGCGAAAAGTTTGTCCTCCTCTCCCAATGTGCCTCCAACCCTTCGTGTTTCTCAATCGCTCTTTCAGACTCTCCACGTTAAACCCCATGCTGTTATACTGACATCCAATCTACCTAGTGTTCGAGCAGGAAGAAGACCCTTCATCGAGGTCGTTCTTTTCTGAGATCATCTCATCCATTTCCGACGTTCGATTTTCCTACGATGGCCGGTACATCCTCTCACGCGACTACTTAACCGTCAAGATATGGGATATCAACATGGAACGACAACCCGTCAAGACGATACCGATTCATGAGCATCTGCGACCGCGATTGTGCGATACGTATGAAAACGATAGCATATTCGACAAGTTTGAAGTTGTCTTCTCTGGGGATGCGAAGAACGTAATGACGGGAAGCTACAACAACAATTTCATGATCTATCCCTCGGATCCAGAGAAAGAGACGGAGGTAGTACTACAGGCGGATAAATCGGCGTTCAAGGCGAAGAAGATCGGAGTACCCACACCCATTAATTCAGCAACGAGCCCGACGGCAAACGGTGGAAAGAAGGCAGGCTCGCGGGCAGAGAGCCCAGGTGGCGGAGCACAAAGAATGCGCAAGGAGACCGACGCGGACCAGATTGATTTTAACAAGAAAATCCTTCACATGAGCTGGCACCCCTTCGAAGACAGCATTGCAATTGCTGCGACCAATAATGTAAGTCCCACGGCCAAATTACGGCGACCCCAGATATAGCCCAAATGCCCGTTGCTCACCAGTCATATAGCTCTTTGTCTTTTCGGCACTGTAATTTATGGTGTGGCCCCACGTTATTGATTCTAGACTCTTGAGGATATCACTTGTTCCGCTTAGAGCCAGGGTTCTTCTTGTGTTGGAGGTGAGCGGGATGACGACCCGAGGCTTCACAAGAATGATGTTTCGCCCCAAATGATGGACACGTAGGGCAAGGCTCCGGTGGGCGACAGGTGGTCTCGACCCGGCAACGATCAAATGCCATTATTGATCTAAAGATGGGTGGACGGCATTGTGAAAGCGCCGGGGTCGCCTGACCACTTTAAATCAGCGTCGCACTGGGTCACAGCTGGAAGTTGGAGGCTACTAGGCCAGTCGAGGTTTATCGTCTCCCCTATGCACTGTCGCCTTCAGCCGGCGATTAGTGTATTTTCGATGCTGGTATCCTTCAGCTTCTATACTGCGTTCGTGTCTGATGGCCAGTCGTTCACGACGATTATTACAAGTTGACATATTCAGGAGAACAAAGAGAACAAGAACTAATTGTAAATTCAGTCCCTACGTGATTACTCTCTCCTCCATGTGCATCCATCCTATGATGGCAACGTACTGCCTAAGAATATCTAGAAATGGCCGCTTTCCGCGTATTTGCACATTAGCTCTATCGGTAAGCTGGTTAGCACGGTATATAGATTGTCGTAACTCACCTATCCTTCAGATGTGTGTCTGTCATCTAAGGTAGGTCGTTTTCGAGGTAGGTCGTTTTCGAGGCTGGTACGATTATCTTCCTGCGCGTTCCTGTCATCCATGTATTGATCAGCTAGCAGGGGGTGAGGATACAGACGGATCAGCTAGCATAAGTACCTCCCACGTCTGGGTGGGTTGGCCTATACCTGACGGCAGGTACCCATCCCTGCCTGTCTAGGGTAGGTACGCAGATAAGGTACCTGACCAAAGCTTACTACCTTAATGTACCTCAAAGGCCAACCGCCATTTCCATGTTAGAACCTTGCCGACCACCTGTCCTAGTACCACTTTACACCCCTACTACTGGAAGTACCTCATCCACCTGCTTCCATCTGCAAGATCACTCTTCATCCGCTTCACGACGATCAGGGTTCAGCTACCCTAGGCAACAAGCCTCGGCAGGAAGGCTGTCTTTTGCTTCATAAGCCTGCTCCACCCAGGTCGTGACACGGTGGTGATCTCGTGGCGCTTGGTTGTATCAGGGCTTGATCTCATCCAAGTAGAGTCGCATCGCAATGAGCAAACACGACGACCAACCTAACGGAGGCAGAAGGCCAAGTAACGGAGATCAAGGCGACGACAAGCCTAGCCCTATGTCTCTCGCCCGCCATGCCGGACCTTCGCTGCTTGCCGCCTCAGTTATGCTAGGCCTGATCTTTGGCGGCTGCTGCTCGAATGTAAGACCAGTTCCCTCTATCTCAACGTAGCACAATCGATGGGAATCCGCCCTGTTTTGGTGGCCACTGAGAATATGCTAAGTATGCCCCCCAATAGGTCTACGCTCTCGAAGCAATCATCAAGTACGTCTGTCCCTTCATTCCTCATCCTCGAGGAACACTTCTTAGTCAATCAACCAGGGCCCAACTAACATTCTGCCACTACAAGTTTCGAGCCGTCTGCTGGTACGGTACCCTCTATGAATGCTTCCTCCCTACGCCTACAAATCAAGGCTGTTGATAGCGGCATTCGCTGAGATGATGTGACTATTATAGGAACTCTCTTGACTTTTGTTCAGTTTATATTTGTAGCGACTACAGGTTATATCACACAGTTTGACCAGTCACGGCCACCCTTTTTCCTGGCCCCAAACAAGGTTCCCATTCGCCGCTGGATCATCAACATTGTGCTGTTCTTCAGTATCAATGTGCTTAACAACCATGCATTCAGTTATAACATTTCTGTCCCCGTTCATATCATCCTTCGTTCGGGTGGAAGTATCACGACCATGGCTGCAGGCTATCTCTATGGAAAACGATATTCTCGGATGCAGGTTTTCGCAGTCGTTCTCCTAACCTTCGGGGTTATTGTAGCTGCATGGTCCGATTCTCAGGCAAAGGTGGGTAAACCCTCTCCTCTTAAGTACAGTCTCACAATATCATGTCCGATTCTGATAGTCTCTTCAGAGCAAGTCCGGCGATGATTCGAGGCCGGCTTTCAGCACAGGGCTTGTGGTTCTTTTTGTCGCCCAAGTGCTATCGGCTATCATGGGCCTCTACACCGAAGCCACCTACCGAGAGTACGGCCCGCAGTGGAAAGAGAATCTGTTCTACTCACATACGCTCTCACTGCCCCTTTTCCTCCCATTTGCCTCGTCCATGTACGCCAGCTACAGTCGTATGGCTGCAAGTGAGCCACTGCCCGTGGGTTTCTTTTCGCCCACCGTCGGTGCCGTCTTCGCCAAAGCGCCCAGGCAATTGGTGTTCTTAGCAGCCAATGTCCTCACTCAATACGCCTGTATCCGCGGTGTCAATCTGTTGGCTGCCATGTCCACAGCTCTCACTGTAACTATTGTCCTCAATATTCGGAAGTTAGTAAGCTTGCTGCTTAGCATATGGCTGTTTGGGAACACTCTTGCCCCCGGGACCGTTCTTGGGGCTCTGGTTGTCTTCGGTGCAGGAGGGCTGTACACGTTTGGCTCATCGCGGCCGAAGCAAAGTTCACCCTCAAAAGAGAATGCCCAAACTACGGTCAAGAAAGAAGGCTAGGCTGGGGAGTACAGTAGGCATTGCCAAACGGGGCCAAGTGTGAAATGAGGGTACGAATAGAATGGGTGATGAGATTCAACAAACAGGAAGACAAGACAAGAGGAGAAAACGGACAAGGCGCAAGGGAAAGTCATGGTAATATACATATACTCAGTACAGTTGGCAAATAGAACATTTAGATGGTTGTTGGATTTCATTATGAAAAGGTTCTCAATCAGTACCTACCAAGGTACTACCTAAGCCACATGGATTGGGTCCTGATACAACAACCGGATAGACTTGTCCTTGATGCGTTGTGTATAAACTATTTACACAGCCACCAAGTATGACATCCTCTGACCTACCTAACGTAGCTACGGGAGATGCATCTACCTGCCTGCGTGGGTTGGTCTGCGGTCCCATTTACCCACCTTCGGGCCCTGGTGTGCATCTAGTCCCATATCGAAGATTGCTATTTGTCCGTTTGCTGCATACCCAGGCACGGGACTAGCTACTCCAATCAGTAGCATACCTATCAGTGAGAACGCAATGGGCCGGCTGGCGGGCTCTGTCTCCCTTGCATGGAATAGCGTTCTGTTGTGGTGGGTGCAACCCAATCCCGGCCTTCTTATGTCACCGACTGCCAGGGAGCTCTCGGAATTCGCCTGACTACCTAGAACAGCTCCACCACACTCGATCTCCCCCTCTACATCCGCCCCTCCAAAAAATTCAAGGACCAAGATATGGGTGTAGAGGATCTTTGTACCAAAATTTCTCCTCCCTCCATCTTCTAGTAAACTTCTCGATATCTACCAATTCGTGCGAAAGCTGCCCCTGGTCCTCCCTCCCGTTTGCCGTGCCGGAGAACATCTTCCCTGCTCGCTCGAGTCTTGAATCGCTTCACGCCGAGCCGCGATGTGTGGCGGTACGTGTTACTACTGCTCCATGATGACAATGCAAACGCCAGCAAGGGAGGACCGATCATGCTGGGAATTCCCCGCGACAGACAGGGCTAACATGGATTCGATTCAGAAAATGGTGCTTCCCACCGGGACCAGGTGACACCTTACGGTGTACATACAAGAGAGTCAGATGAGGAGGATGCAAGTGTACAGGAGGGTGGTGCAACAGAATGGGAAGAAGAAGAAGCGTCCGCAGATGAGCACCGAGCATGGAACGAATCGACCGAGAACAACGAACAAGGCGAGCTTCGTGAAGGAATGCTGCTACGCGATCTTCCAAAACGTACCACTTTCTACGATCCTGTCGCCGAACGCCAGATGAGCCAAACAGACTTCAAACACTTCTATCAACGCAGCAAGGCTGAGACTCGCTCCAACACAGGCGGTACGCGCTCTCAACAAACGCCATTCGGCAGTCCTATGATTGCTGCTGGCTCGCAGCCCCCAACGGAATATGGAGCCGATTCTTTGCTTCTCGATCCCGAGAATCAGAGTACAGAACCCCAAGTTCTTTGGAATGGTAGCTCCGAGACACCAACCTCGGTCCCAGAATACAATCGGCCAGCTCTAGACGCCATGTCTCCTCCAGGCGCCAGAATTTATCCCGGGATGGCAGCTTCCAGAGCCGGCCCTGCATTGTACCCCAAGGATGCGCCCGAAACTTCACAGCCTACGGCTCCTGCTCTGCCCCAGAGCGGCCTTTTGGGTAGCGGCGCCTTCGATACCGAGCCTCAAATCACCGAAGAGCTCAGTGCGATATCTAAAAATATCCAGCGAATTCTTGATATCAGGCGCAAATACATAAAACTATCTGCCCAGGGGCCAGATGATAACCCAAGGGATATGCCAGGTTGGGACATTTACCCCCCTCCTCCGCAACCTGCCTGGAAGGCGACTGGCGAGGTGTATGGCTCGGGTGGGCATGAACAGCCATCTGGGCAACAGGAGGCGAAACGTCCTATTAGAAGGAGAAAACCGGGCCAAGATATCGGTGAAGACTTCGATATGGATGATCTTCTGCCCCTCCCCGGCGACGATGGTATGGCTTTCAGACTTGATGAGAGCGGCGTATACCAAGTCTTCGAATCCGAGAAAGCTACCGAGCCTGCCATCCAAGTCCCCACCATCAGGGAATATTACATGGACCTGGATGAGATCCTTACCACATCCTCAGACGGGCCAAGTAAGAGTTTTGCATTCCGCCGTCTTCAGTATCTTGAGGGAAGGTTTAATCTCTATGTTCTACTTAATGAGTATCAGGAGACAGCCGACAGCAAAAAGGTTCCTCACCGAGACTTCTACAACGTTCGTAAAGTAGACACCCACGTCCATCACTCAGCTTGTATGAACCAGAAGCACCTTCTCCGGTTCATCAAGAGTAAGAT